TCATCTGCCAAAAATTTCAATTTACTTATGAACCTAGACAATATTAAAATATGTATATTAATTTATGATTATGAATAAGAAGACTGAAATGTCTACATTATTATTGCCGAAAAGCAGCTGAGATGTGCCAGAAATTAAAATAATATAAAATGGAGTGAATGTATGGCAGATTGGATTATACACATATGAAAAAATATGACAAATTAATTCACTTAAAATATGAAATTAAGTATTACTCAGAGCCGGTCCTATCTTTAATGCGATGCATGCGAAAAATACGAGCGCACGCCTTTTTTTTTAATATATAATTTCTTTGCATCTTTTACTAATTTTTCCACAATATTTTTAAAACTCATAAAAATTTTACTTTAAAACAACAAATGGGAAAGTAGAGATGAATACATACAATTCGGCCCTCACGATATCGATTAGGAGAAGTTTAAGATACAATTTTAAATATCTTAAATAATTAAAAATTAAATTAATTTAATCCAACATGAAGTACCAGTGTTATGCTATGGTTATGGTTATGTTATACCGTTTAAAAGACTTCAATTTCCAATATAGTGTGGGAATTGAGACTCATCATTTTATTTAAAGCAGTTCTGCATTTAACATCGCTCATATTATAAATGTATATGCATTTTGGAGTGAAGAGTAATTTAAAAAACAATAATTATCATTTTTAGGTAAATGGTCTAATCTAATCATATAATAATTATGTATCATTTATTTGTATAATTCATTCATATCCGAACGCTCTGTTATCTCAAAAACGGAAATACCATTTTTGTCACTTTTTGTCCCGTATTTTCGAAAGGACTAGACCTGCCTTTGCGAAAAACTGATCAGCACGTCTTCTTATCAATAGGAATCGAATGTTTTTTGAATTATTCAAATCGGTTGAATCGTTTTGTCGAAATCGTCGACAGAAAAGTGTATCCGCACATTCATACACACACTCATACATCCATTTTTTCTAAGGTATGCCAAAATGTTCATAAACCTTTGAAACGTAAAGATATATAAAAATTTTCATTTTCGATTTTTTTGCGGTTACTATAACTTACCCTACGGGAAGTCAATTGAATCCAACGTTTTTACAAAAAAATAATTGCGATATCATCTCCTCGCGCTGATTGAGTTCTCATTCTCATTGCTAGTGCGGGCAGGACACCTCGTGAGCCGTAATGAGTTGTATTTTACCATGATTAACTGCTAATTAACTTAAATGAGTTTACGTGCTATAAATCCATAAATATCATTTACTTAACACTCAGTCTTAATAGTACCATTCATATGAAAATTTGTTCCGGGATAAACACGTAGTGCAAAAGTTAAATATTCAATACAAAATTAATACACATTTTGCAAAATAATTAAAAGTTAATAAGTGTCTACCTGGTAAATAGCTGTGTGTCACAAAATAAAATTGTGTTTTGTCTAAAAGGATGGAGTCCTAATTAAAATTATCTCACATGATTTATGATACGCTTATAAAACGTTTATATAAAAGGTGTTGTAATAACGTTGCAATATTACACATTTCAGTATTTAATTTAAAATAATTTTGTCTGACTAAACGTACGAATCTGCGAGTTAAATAATTTAATCAAAAACGTAATTTTAATCGAAAATATTTTACGTAATACATTCTTTGTTTTACATGAAAACGTTCTTATTTTTAGAACTTGAATAAATAATACGGTTTTTATTTGGCCCTTAATTTCATTCAGTAAATTTAAATATCTTATTTATATTTTGCCTAAATATCAGTTTTAATTTAACTAATTTAAGTATTACATAGAAGTTTTTAATTCTTGAAAATATAATACATAATTAGTCATTATGTAATATGAAAATTCTTTTTGTCTAAGTCGGTATATATTGAATATAAAATAAACATTATGATATATTGTTTTAATTTATTTTACATGCAAGTATCTGAGTTAAAAAAAATTATTCTTGTGTTTTGTATAATATTACAGATTTTTAATTAGTAATATTTCACGTAATACCTTTTGATGTGTAATATTGCAATATTATTTTTGCAATCTTGTTCTTAGATAATCAATTTAATTTTAATTACTAAAATCAAACTTGCCTAAATATTATGAAAAAATTTAAAATAAAGTTTGTAAATAATAATTATTGTATTTATGAAGATGATAATTTAACTATTGTTTTTGTTTAGTTTTTTTTTTAAATATTACGAAAACTTTACAGTTTTGTAAATTCAGATTATCTCTTCTATTCGGTTTTACTTGGTCACATGCAAATTATTAACGTTATTAATTACATCTTCAGTTTTTGCTTTTTTATTTTTTTGTTTATGAATAATTTCAAATTATTCATATAATTTACATACAATTATGTATTGTTATTACATACCAGATCGCGGTACTTCTTGAAAAATTTTGCAATCCTGATTCTCGAAACGATGTGATTTTTCTAAAAAATGTGAAAATGTGCTTTCTTGATTAGCACAAATTTAACCAATAATAAATCCTAATTGTCCTCTTATAAATAAAATTATAATTTATTTCTTCTAAATTTAAAAAATAATTTTTGATTAAAATTGTACGTACATCTCTTACAAAACATTGAAAAATTGTCCCAGTATAAAACAATGTGCCATTATTTTCAGAAAAGTACATTTTTAAGTTTTTGTGCTGAAGTTGCAAGTGATATTGAAATTGAAGTATTTTTGTGTGACATTGAAAAACTGGTATATATAATAAAAATAAGAAATTTTTATTTAATTTCTTTAAAAAAATTGTGAAGCAGTCATGGGTAATTCGAACGAGGAATCAGAATGCGCCTCGCCCGTGCAGGATTGTGAGGAAAAAATGAACAAAATCGGCCAAGATAGATTTGTCAAGCTTTTAGCGAGATTTATTAGGTAATATCTATAGTTGATTGGAAACTTATACGAAACTGAAGATTTCGATCAAAGTGACTGATTCATTGTATATTTAAAGTAACGACCATGCTAATTAAGTAGAACTAATAATGTATATAAGTAATAATAACACAGGTCCACAAAATAAAAAACTTGTCTATATTGGGTGTAACGCATATGTTTTCCAATGTAGTTTTTACTGCTGAACACGCCTCTAAAGTCAAAGTTGGAGGTCAAGTGGCAAAAAATTGAGAAAAATTAAAAAAAAGACAAGATCTCCGATCTAGTCATTCTTTTGCATGATACTTATAATTTGATCATTTTTGTCTTTTCCTGTCCCTTTCTACCTTAAATGACTATTGAGTATTCACTGAACTGATTTTTTAAGTTTTTTTACAGAATACAGCAGTATTTTGCAAACACATTTTCAGACATTCAAATTGCAAACACGGTTGCAGGTTAACCCATGAGCAAAGGGGTGGAAATATGTTAAGCAAATTACTGCTGAAACCAAAAAACTAAAGAGATCATTTAATTGAAACTCAATAGTTATTTAAGGTAAAAAGGACCACGAAACGACAAAAATTATGAGGTTTTGAATATTATGCAGAAAAATTACTACATCGGAGATTTTATAATTTTTTTCAAAATTTTACTGTTTTACCCCCAATTTTGACTTCAGATTCATGTTCAGCGGTGAAAACTACATAGGATAACATATACCGCACACTCAATACAGACAACTTTTTTTTATTTTGTGGACCTTTGTAACTGTTACTCAAAACAAATTGTTGCAACTTATTTTGTAAATAAGTATAAAAAGAAACTTATTAAACAATATTAAAATTTAAAAACTTTACAAATACGATACATAAATTTAAACCGAAATAAAAATCATCAATTAAATTTTTAAATTATAAATTAAAACATTTATACTTTAGTAGATCAAATTTTTGAAGATAATGTAATTGTTGGAAATAAATTGTGCATTTTTCGCAAAAGTTTGAAATGTTTTAAAAATGTAAGAATTTTTAAAAGCACGTTTTTTGAAAAAAAAAGATTTTTTGTAAGCGTAGGAATTATTCTTAATTTTTTTAAATTGTTGAGAACAGATTATTTCAAAACGTGAAAATTTTTGCAAGCTTTAGAATTGGCAAAAATAGAACTTGATATTTTATTATATGTTAACAATTTTTTGTAATTTCTTTCTAATCCTTATTCATTTAAAGTTTTTTAGCATAAATAAAACTTGATATTCGAAAAAAAAATTACGAATAAAAATAAAATATTATTTTTTCTTATTTTTAATTCTTACTATTATAAAGCAAAAGTTTTGCTTATCGAGAAATAATAATCTGTAAACCTCTGTGTTACTTTAATACCACAAATATTTATCAGCATTGTAGAAAATATAATGCACATCACTTTTTCACTAATTATTTTATAAAAAAGTTATATTATCTCAATATTAGAACCATGCAATGTCATGTACACTAAATAAATAATGTTAAAATAATAAAAATCGAATCCAAGCGATCAAAATCTAAAACTAATCGTTCCCTCGCGTTCTATTTAAGGATTCCGATTGATCTTGAACCGGCCTTGATCTCCAGAATCATAAATTCGACATCGATTTAAATGAATTAATTGTTTACAACAATATTGTTCGATCGCGTTTTGGCATTTCTAATTACTGTGAATTGAACTAAACATTTAACTCTATAATAAAATGTAATGAAACAGATTTATAAGTCGGAAATCGAATCACGCCAACGCCACAAAACTACCGTGCGGTATAAATTGAATTCAATGTTAAGAGTTTCGTATATTTTATATCATGACAAATGGCTCCTCCGGCCATTTTCATTGTTTTTAATTAAGTATCAATAAGTTTCCGTTCAATAAAATTGGCTGCACATATTTCTAAAGACGATAGTTTGCTAAAGTAGTTTGAGCAAGGAGCATCTCAATATAATAGAATACATAGTTTAAGCAAATTGTATCTTGTTTTGTCATAATTTTTAACTTTTTGTTAACTTAAAATGTTTTCTTCATCTCAACTTTTTTATTCTCCTTTTTCATTGCCTGTTTCGGAAAGCCGGACTTACATGCGGCCGTGAGTATTTTAATATTCTCTATTTTGATTATGCTTTTTATTTTTCACTCAATTTATAATCATGTTATATTTATATATAAATTTATTGACCAACAGAGTTATAAATGATATTTATTTAAATGTAACTTCTGTGTATCTTATTATGTTTATCTAAGTGCATGTCTTTATTTTTGCATGGATTATATGAAAGTATTTATTGGCTTTATGTTTTTTTTTGCTGAATTTTTTAATATGATATGTAATCATTTTCTGCATATCTAACATTTTTTCTAAAAATAGCATATAATTATTTTGCAAAATAAAAGAGAAAAATTAAATATTCCATTTTGCTATTCAGCATGCGGCATTCTCCTGTAGAATTTGATAATCAATTTTGAGAAAGTTTAAAACTATTTTATTATCAATGTTAGTAACTTTGACTATGATTACATATTGTATATGCTGCATTTATATAGCTATAAATATGATAATAGCTATTAATTTGATATTGGCAACTTGTGCAACGTATTTCTTTAACATAATATAATATCAAAACTAAAATGCTATACTGTTAATTCACACAAGATGCCAAAGGATTGAAAATCTATTACGTTTTCATTTTCTTCACTCCCATTTACAACAAAATATATAATTAATCATAGAATATGCTTCTATTAATTACAAGCTTTATTTATTACCTTTCCATATAATGCTGTAATAGAAACCTATTGTTAGTAAAGAAATCAAAAACAAATTCCAAACAAAGTTCCAGTAATTTGCCTTAGGGAACAAGGACACTAGTCACTAGTTTATTTTTTTCTACGCTATAAGCGTGAAAGTGCAAAAATTTGTCGTCTTAAGAAAGCCGAGATCTGAAGAACATATTTTTCTTAAATTTTCAGCTCATTTACGAAACTTTATTTTAGCCAAATTGCCAAATTTGATAATAACTTATTATTTGATAATTTACGTTCGGAGAGGGAGACAAAGCAAAATAATAAATTTTATTAATCGGTTATTTGGACCCAATTTTTGCATTGCAATAGTATTATGTTTTGTTTATTATATTTCTTGAAATCAAAAATGTTATTAAAAAAATTTGTTAATTACATTTTATAGCATGTTTTTTCTCACTATCCAAATTTTGCTGCCCTCGAAAATATGCCGCCCTGGGCAGTAGCCCCGACTGCCCCTACTAAATCCAGCACTGTATATATATATATATATATATATATATATATATATAGATGATATATAGTAAGTAGGTGTATCTTCTATTCAAGATGTGCGACGTTTTCTTTTTTATTCGTTCGATGATAACTTTTATTGCTACTAGATAATTAAAGTTGTTGACATTTCAATTTAATCGTGTATTATATTTCATCATATTCACGCAATTTTGATTATATTTTCATAATTTTATGTTTAGTATAAAAATCTTACAATATCTGAATCATTAACAATAAGTAAAAAGAAAAGTTTCTTTGTTTGTAGAATGTGAGTGAACATATTATAAATACCATGAAAATAGCTCACTTTACATTGCTATCTTAATTAAACTTTCAGCTACGGGTAAATAATTTCAATAATATAAAATATATTTAATATGGTGCTTTTTCTAATTTTCGAAAAAATATTTAATTTAATTAATAATAAAGCACAATTTATGGTCTTTATAGTAATTTGCATCATAAGAAAACAAATCAAATTCATTCGAATTTCATTAATATCAAAACAATCATTAATATCAAAACAATCATTAATATCAAGTTTCTGCATAAACATAAGATATTGGATTGATTGTAACTACAAATTCGCAATGGAAAATTATACGGAAAACAGCTTCTAGTAACTAAGTTTCTCAATAAAACTCTAATTGATGATGTTAATACTAGTTTAAAACATCACTTTTATTCATTTAATAACACAATTGATTATATTATAAATTGTGAAGTTCAAACACACAGATTGACACACTATGAACGTTTTCCACGATCATCTTGCACCTCATCCGAGCTATCTTCGGAATTTTCAGTCGATGCATCATGTAAGTTCCAAAAAGTGGTTTTGTTTTTATGTTCACGTTTTCTCCTTAAAACTGAAATGATGCTTTGTTCATCGTGTAAACATCGACTGGAAGTACTTTCAGTTCTGGAGCAATGACAACGTTTTCGGCCAACTTGATCTCGTATGTAAAAGGGATTTCGCTGAGTTTTTTTGCGAGTTGCTTTAGCAGAAAATCGGTTATCATCATAAGGTTTTTCTATCGGTGCACTTAATCTTGGTCGGCAATTATTATTAATATTCTTATCTTGTTGGTCTCTTCGGTCCTTACGTTCTCCCAATATAATTTCATCTAGCATCACAATCATATTTGAAACATCCATTCTGTGTTGCAGGGAAGATGTACAAGGATTTTTTGGAAACACGAGTGGACAATGTGCTCTTAAATAATCTTGGTTAGGACTATTGTTACTACTGCTTGTCTCCGAATGATTTAAATGACGCATTTGGATTTGCGTAAATGCGGGATCAGTTCTTAATCTTTTTCTACAATTATGTTCATCCATCCTGTTTAGCCCTAAAGACGCATCATTTCCAGATTGAGATCTTTCTGAGCTTCCTGAATCTTGGGCTGCTTGCTTGTATTTCTCTGTATAGGAGAGACAAACCAATCATTCGGTTTCTTAACTCTATTTATGCGAAACTTACCAAGCATTTTCTCTAGAAATTCCCTAGGCAGATGTTCATCAATATAACGAAAATTCAGCTGCAACTTCTTAGTTTCTTCTAGTAATTCGAAAGCCGCTCTTTCAACATAACGAGCGTTGTATGTTTGTAGTAGATATTTTAAATAATCACAGATCGGGTTGACCATACTGTTAACCATGTATTCGGTAAAGGCGCTTTGGCCAGAATGATTTTCACTAGCTTCAGAAGGAGATTCTACTCTCTCATCACTTAGTTTGGGAAGACTACTACTCGCACTGCTGGTGGAGGGCATAGCTTCAGTCATGTCGTCTGATGGTTGCCTTCGGGTATTACGATTCAATTTCTTGACACCGTCGACCGCATTCGAGACCCGTTTATCACTTCTGTTGTACATTTTTAAAATTTCGAATTTTATTTACAAAGAAATATGCTCTTTCAAATTTACGTCAGACGGATTACTTAAAGCATTTGTTTTTTTCGCATATGCTTACATGCCTATTTTGATTGAGAAATATTTCTGACTATGTATTCATCTAATTTTTATACAGTAATTATTGAAATTAATAATTCTTACATAACCCTATGAAGCCTAGACAATATTAGAATATTTATTATGAATTTTATTTGATGTAGAAAGGATAGTTAAAGAATACACTATAGACGCGAGGGCGCTGCTAAATTAAATTTTGAAAAGAAAATTAATGAATTTTAACAATCGGGTAGTTGAAACTATATTTGGCATTACAATCGTATTATGTTTTGTAATAATACAAAAGTAACAAAAATATGCTAAATATTAAATATATTATAATAAATATACAATCAAATCGAAATATAAATCAATAAACACACCGCCGGTTTAAATATACATCACGTTGTTTCGTTCTCTCAAAAAATGCCATTTTTCGCACATTTAGCTTCGTATCTCTAAAAACTAATCAGCACGTCTCTCTATCAATAGGAATCGAATGCTTTCAAATATTCCAAATCAGTTGATCCGTGTACCCGAAAAATTGTATCCATACATACACACACATCTATTTTTTCTATGGTATGCCAAAATGTTCAGAAACCTTCGAAATGTAAAGATATGCAAAAGAATACTAATTAGATTTTTGGATGATTACTGTAACTTACCCTACGGGAAGTTAATTCACAATTCACTATACTTACAATAGCAATAAAATGCACTAATTAGGATTTAATTCATAATATATAGGTAGTTCGACAACATATCTAATTTAAACTAACATATATGTATAATCTTTCGTGTTAACTATTAAAATATAAATGAAATGTCACGAGTAGTTACTAGCAGTGCCTTCGCAAATTTAACGCTTATTTCTTGATTTTTTCCTTGATTTTATTTTTGCATCATTAATTATTAAATAACCTCGTTATTTATTATAATTAAACTTTTTTTTCAGCGCCCGAGACCAAGAGACGAAGAGCGCCGAAGATGTGCTTTTTGATATGTTCCGCAATGAAGAGACGGACTTGCTGCCCATCGGAAAATTTCTGGCCGTAAGTATTTATTGTTAAATAATTGTAAGTAGTTATAAGTAATCATAACTAATGTAAGCGTAACTCACAAATGAATTATTTTGACGCAATTTGTAGTAACATTACCTTTCGATATTTTTTTAATAGAGTTGATCAACAAGGATTGTTTTTTTTTTAATTTTTAAAATTTCGACTTTTTTGCTCTCTTAATTACATAGGGATTGACTGTGTTTTACCTGAATGTTTTGGCACTGCTACCTCGCAAAATTCGTTTTAAACTAATTATTGTGTCTTAAGCTATTATTTACGAAGCTTCACTGATCTTCACCAAATACTAATCAAAACAATTAGCAAACGAATTTTTTTTCAAATTCGGACAGTTTTCTGGGAAATTGCGAAATACATAAACTACTTTTACGGTTAATTAAATATAATCAATTTAATTATTAAATATTTGCAATCGATGGCAATAATAATATACATATGATGATATCAATCATTTAGGAGTAACAAGTAAGTACTTTTTGATTAGTAAATGATAGAGTAACTATTAATAAACTAGTGGCGTATGACATCGTGTCTTAAGGCAAATTGCTGGCACTTCCCGTACCGTAACAAAATATTCGAGGAATATTAAGGAGGTCTTCCTATGTGACGGCCTGTTTTTTAGGGATATTTTAGGATTTTTTTTCTTTTGCCTCGAAAAAAAGAGCTCCCACTTTCTCCACGATTCCGGCTGATCGGCTTATCTGAAAAAAAAAATAAACGGCGTTTTAATTTGTAGACTTAAAAGCACGGAATGACCTATAATCAAATGAATATAAAAAAATTGGATTTTTGATAGACATTTGAAATAAAAGTTGCAAATTAGGCGTTTTTTTTTTTGTTTTTCGCTATAAAAAAATCGAAGTTTTGAAAATTTCATTCCATGCGTTTAAATATATTGAGTGTGCCCTGTAAATTTCAAGTAATTCGGTCCAGCCGTTTCTGAGATACAATGGTGAAAAGTTTGAAAAACACAGTTTTGAGAAAAACGCGTTTAAAGTTTCAAGTCCGTTAAAAACTATTAAAATATCAACTTACTCTCAATCGGCGATGTCTGGTTCATAGAGTATTCCTTCCTCTTCCTCCTGAAACTCTTTTGAAGCAGATTGTTCAGCTCTTGAGTCAATCCTGGCTTGTTTAACGACATCACTTACGCGCCGCTCAGAACGTAAGATTCGCTTTTCATCCCGTTTCTCAACATACGCTTGGGCTTCACGACCAACAGGGCATCCCATACTCGACATAACTTTTAAAATACCTTGATAACCTTCATTAAAGATAATAACTGCTAAGTAGCTAGCAATTTCAACAATTTTGGGACCAGAATGAAGATGTTTAGGAGCGAAAGTCCAAATCAAAGAATTCAAAGATTCGTTATTGTTTTGTGTCTCTGCTCCTAAACAAACTTTGTATAAACGGATATATGAATAAAAGGGAGGCCGGGTATAAAGCCGACGGTACACAATAGGCCCGGGCTCTAACTGCCAACTCAGCGCTCCGAACCGCTCTTTCTTTTACCTGCTGTATCTTTAAAACGACTTCGAATTTTCTAAAATCGCTTTACTACCGTATTCTAGACATGTTAAGGGAAGAAAAAAATCGATTTTTTCAACCCATCACATAGGAAGACCCCCTTAAATGTTTCCAAATAGATTATTATAAATACAGTAACATTGTCTAATATTTATAAGAATTATATAAATCGAATTGCAAAGTTAAAATTATTTATTTAAAGTATATAAGTGAACTTTAGAACTTTAGCCAGAATAAAAATTAAAATCTGAATTATTTTCGAATTTAATTTTGAAATAAAAAAATAACCCCAAAAGCAATTGTTTTATCAACACAAGTAGAAAGTTTTTTGAATCATTCAAATCGGATGCTTTTTTCTCTCAAAAACTGTCATTTTTTGTACATTTAGCTTTGTATCTTCAACATGGCTGGACCTGGCTTTGCCAAAAACTAATCATTATTTCACCCAATCATTACAAATTGAAAGTTTTTTTTTGCCAAAAACTAATCGGCACATCTCCTTATCAATAGGCATTGAATGTTTTTTGAACCATTCTAATCGATTGATCCGTGCGTCCGAAAACGTGGGCGAAAAATTGCGGACACACAAAATACACACACACACACATTTTTTCTAAGTTATGCCAAAATGTTCAGAAATCTTCAAAACGTGAAGATATGCAAAAATTTTCAATTTCGATTTTTGGCGATTATAAGAACTTACTCTACGGGAAGTTAACAAGTATAATAATAATATTAATATTAAGTTAATAATTACTTACTGTATATTAATACTTACAATTAATAATGAAAACTTAAATAAATAGTAATGGAATAAATGTAAAATCAATTATAGAAAATATATATAAGTTACAATTGCAATATGTAAGTATTTTTACAAAATGCAATAATTAAATTTCGTATAATAACACTTAAATACAAAAATCACATTATCTGTAATGATACAAAATTTAAAGTAGTTATTAACTATTAATTTCTTGTTGTCTTTGCCGCAACTTCTATTTTATACACATTTATGTATCTACTAAATTTAAAATAAAAATATTGTATGTGAGAAAATTTCATTTTGTTTACAAATCATTTAATCATTATTATTCTGCAATAGATTTCTAATTTGGTTCTGCCGAAATTAAGATAAAATGCCGTTAAGATAAAATCTTTATCAACTAATATTAAATATTCCATCGGAGTAATCAATTTTTATGTAACTTGCAGTAATAATTACAACAGATTAGAAAAAATCTTGTTGCCGTGCTGCTTTATGCGAGTAGACCCAAAATTGAATTGTATTTCAAATAATGCATATCATTATTAATTGCGGCTTATAATTATTATTAGTGCATAGACCCAAGGCATGTCCATGGTGAGAGCACCCAATTTTTTACTCATTCAGTTTCTCTTATTTTTTATTCATTATCTAGATTTTATATCTCACACTTCTGATTTTATATTATATCAGGTACTTCTAATTTCTTCAATGTTTTTGATCATCTACAATATTGTTGATCAAGGTTTTCAATCTCATTTTACTCTTTATAACGCCGTGCTGTAGTCTCCATTTTTTCAATATAATACATTCTTTTTTATTTTAATAATTCTCTTAAAGCTCCTTTTGAATTGTTAGTTTCTCGGCCCGTTCTTTCTTCTTCTGCACCATATTCAAAGCTTTCTAAGTATGTTATTTTTGCTTTCCATAGAATGCATGTCTCTGATCCGCACAGATCCATTCCGTTTCTTAGACTTATAAAAAGCGGATAAAATTTTAGTATATAAATGTTTTCATAGATCTTTAAACTCAAGCTTTGCATTTAACATTTCTAATATTAACTATCTAAGATGAGTTCAAAAAATTATCAATAGAATGAAATAGTGAAATCAGCTTTTTGGATTACTTAAAAACTATTTGATGTATTAATATGGTAATATTAACTAAGCTGTAGAACTAATATTTAATTAAGCTGGAGAAGATATAAAACTTTTAAATTAAGTTTTGAACGAAATTCGAGGTAATTAAGTTCACTGAAAGAAACAAAAAGTTTATTTTACGAACTTTAACTATATATCTATAGAACATAACATTCATTGCAAACGAAAAATAGTTATTTTTCTCAACTTCGAGCTTTGTCACTAATCAACAAAAAAAAACAATCACTATTAGTTTAGTAAAGTAAACACATCGAGGTCATCTAAAAATAGAGAATTTTGTACAATTTGAACGCAGATGTTAAGGATAGAGTGAAAAATACAGTGCGATTTTGCAAAAACAAGAGTATATGAGATAATACGTATTATTTCACGAATCTCGGTATCTGTTAGTCAAGTCTAATAAGTCGTAATAAATATTTGAAAATAAACATGTCAACCAAAATATGTCAAAATTGTAAATAACGCTGAGAAAAAGACAAAACAATCGAATCGCGAAAATTGTATAATATTGCAGAGTCTGAATATGCTATTTTTTTTCAAACCTATTTTTGATTTGTATTTTCAAGTAAAATGGATAATACTGAATTTACCAAGTTATCCGATAACAAATAACACATATCAAGCAAACAACTATCTGACTATGTTCAGTAAAACTCCCAGCTAATTCAACATTGTAAAAATTCAATTGTTGGTTTTGTTGTTTTTCAAAAATTAGTCACCTTGTCCATTTTACCTCATATGCGGGGTAAAACGGGACAGCTAGGGAGAAACAGGTACAATGCTTATTTTTAATTTTGGAAAGATTTTACTAAATAATAGATACATTATTTAACCAACATGAATACATTTTTTTTAGATAGATGACACTGTATATAACCTTGATCTGGTATTTTGTCAGAAAATATCAGCATAGTTGGAATCAATATTTATTTAACTTATCTCTTCTGTATTTTCTTTTTGCAACCTAATTTACTTTTCTATTTCTTGTTTTTTTAATGTTTTCTCTTTTGTCAGGATAAAGGCTCAGATGATCCTTTCTATTCCAACCACATGGAAGCTTTTATAAATGTTATATGTAAAAAAAAAAACTATTGAATCCAATATAAAAATAACAATAAATCTTATGAAACATTTAAATAATGTAGACTTAAAAATTATATTAAGGTCTCGTAATTTAAACAAAAGTGCTCACAATAAAAAAGAACTAACAATGAACGAAAATACTTTTGCTATGGATTTTCAAACATTGCCGTATATCTCTCGATAGCAAAGTCGTAGGAATCACGGTGATGGCTGGCCACTCTTCTTTTTCCCTCTACTATCAAATATTGTTATTGAACAATTCTTAACAATTCTTGTTTTTGAGATATCGATGGTGAACCTTTTTACCCGCGGACCTTTAAGCCTCGCTCTACATGAGGATATTCTGAAAGCATTGCTGTAACTGTTTTGTTGAGTAAACCTAATATTACTTTTTGCTATAGGGTATCAACAAATTAATATGAAACGTAGCCTCGACAACAATATTGTCGGATCGACATATTGAAAATGAATAGCGCGTCAAATAAAACTTTGACTACCCTAAGCTTTACTACTATAAAATAAAATTTAATTTCATTAATGTATATTGATAACTTAATAAGAAAGCGAATAAAGCGTGTTAAGTCTTGCAATATTGAAAACAATCAGTCAAACAATATAATATTGGAAATGCTGACTTTTATAATACTAAAGACATTTCAAGAAATTTTATAATAAAAATTCATCTAACCTTATTTGATAATTATTTTAAGATGATTTAATTCCGGTACTAAATCTTTTCATTTAAATACCTTACACCTCACTTTACCATAATATAAATGTAATAATTAACGAATTAAAAAAAAATCTTTAGCAGTTCCCATTATATCAGTTATATTAGTAGGTACTTCTTTATATTGAATCTTACTTTCTACCAGTTTTAGTTATAAACAAAATCTTTTTCGATGGGAAGGTAATTAACACCAACCTTTTCCATTCTGTTTTGGAATTAACTAACAAATTGTTTGCGGAGTTGTTAAGATGATCAGCAATCCTATGAATTTAAAGTTTATTCGAGAGAAATTGTATTATAAAAAATACGCAAATAGAACATAAAAAAGCAGGAAAATATATTTAAAGCACTTTCCTTTACGAACGCAGCAAACTAATCCCTGCGATAATTTTATCCATTCGTCCAATAATAGCTGGCGTTGCCCTTGAAATTTCGGCGCTAAATTTAAACCGTCGTGTGCAGCGGATGAGCGATTACGATTGGGAATGAAAATGAAATGTTTATTTGCAAATATCTATCTTATCGACTCGCGAAATATGAAAATTTGGCATCAGCGAAAGCTGTAATTAATTCATATCGGAGATAACAAAATCAGGGTATATTAAACGCAGGGCAGGACTAGGAATTAAAGAAATTTTGACAAGTTTACGACTTATTCATTAAGGCAACTTAAACTAAAATTGCTCAATTGACGGTTTCAATGTTTTAATAATTGTCCTGAACATATATAGGGTGTCCAAGAACTCAACGTCAACTACCATGAAAAAAATTTAAAAACATATTACATGTAGTTTGTATTATTAAATTAGCTTCATAAAATTTTTAAGTGCTAGAGCTTTGCTGAAACTAAACATTTTTCGATTATTGTGGCCAATTTTGTTAATTTTATTCATTTAAGCCTAGGATTTGCAATCGTAAATAATATAATACTTCTAAGACCACAGTAAAAAATAATAACACAATTGCTCCAAGTTTTCTCGAATTAAGACCATTTGTTAAACTATATATTTAAAATTTTCAAAATTGGTCAACTTTGATAAGTCTTTAAAAAAAATTGAAAGTGTTTTGGCAAGTTCATCAAAAGTTTGCGCATTTATTTAGGATTGTTTAATGGTACTTGATAGTTTTATGATAAAAGAATGCGAAGAAACAAATTTGAGTACATAATTTCAGAGTTCCAAACTACGTGGCATATTTTTCTTTCAATGTAGTTACTATGAATATTTCGTTTCAGCTTGACGTTGAGTTCTAGTACACCCTGTATATACACATACACATAAATATACACATATATATTGCTCAAAAACGCCTGAACCGATTTCAGCAATTTAAAAGCCATTTGATGTGTCTCAATGAGAACTATCGTTTGTCAGCTTTGTGCGACGATTTGCCGAGCCGTTTCTTTGTAATTTGGAAAAAAGTGTTAAACTTTTCGTCCACATTTAAGGTCATACTACCGAATCGATTTTAAAAAACCAAACACTGTTCGAAAGATATTAGTTGGGAATGATACTGGTTAGGTGAAAATCTACCAAACCGTTTTCTATCTAATTAACTATCATGGCCTTATTAAACTTACTGAAATATTACGGCCTTACGACAAGTAGTTTAATTTTAAAAATTCATCAAAGTTTGAGAAAATGAGTAATTTTTTTTTGACGTTTGTTAAAATTAAAATTAGACGCTTTACTTGGTATGTTCTTAATGAACATACTAAACTAAACTATCAAAGTCCTACAGAAACTGGTTCAATTATAAAAATTGTTGATTTTTGAAAATTTGCTTTTAGAAAATACTCCAAGTTAACGTGTTCGTTTGTTTTCAATTATGTGCAATAAATTCACTTGGAATACTTTTAATCACTCATGAATTAATTTATTTAAGTTCGTGTAACTTGCCTCAAGCCAAAAAATACCAATACCAACTAGTTTTATATAGTTTTTGTTTAACAAAGAACACATAACCAGAAAAATAATTATAACACTTTGAAAAAATGTGAGAAATATGATTTATAGCTGTTTTTTAATTTTAGTTTGTATTGAGAAATGAAGAAAGTAGCATCATAATTTTATTATATATTATTACTATTATGATTTTTATAACGAGCAATAATGGTTTTCTGTTCATTATTAAAATGATACCAACTAATAATTATTTTCTTTTGTTTTGTTTTTGGTTGGACACATAATTAGTGTCTATATTGGGATTATGGCTATTAACATTCCAAGAATATATATTTATATACATATACATATATAAATAAATTAAGTATGAGTAAACTGTTTGATGTATTTTAAACTCATTAGTTTTGTAATTTCTTATCGATTGTTTAATTCCTATTTCAAAACTTTATTTGCATTTAATTGGCACTATAATAAGTTGTTTGAATTATATTGCCGAGAATTTTTGCGTATGACTAATTGTAAGTTCCAACTGAATTATAATATTATTGATTGAATCGATAAGATGTAAATTATTTACAATAAACCGAAGAAAATATCTGATAAACAAAATCATATTTCTAGATTGTATATATTGATCAATAACCGATAAAAATAAATTACGAAATAAATTCATATTTACTTACTTCATTAATGATTCATAATGTACTTTGGTGTTTACGATTCAACTATATTTTCTTTCTAACTATAAAATTAACATTTTGTTAAATTAATCGTAACGCGCACTTTTAAATATAATGATTAAAAAATATCTAAATAGAAAAAATAAATTGTGAATTTATAAGAAATGTAATAAAAACAATATTTTATTTTTCTTATTGTGGTATGCATTTTAATTTTTTTAATTGAAGTAATATAATGTAAAATATATAAAATTAATTTTATTATGAAATAATAAATATGAAATAAGGTCCTTTAATTATTACTCCGCTCGATTAGATTATGTTTTGATTATTCACTTTTTATGTAAACATATATAAACGTCGTCGTCCAAGTTATAAGCTCTTATATTTCTTATAAAGTTGCAGTGCTTACAATAATAAATCATTTCAAAATCATTTAGTATTTTTCGAATTCTTCATAATGGTATGGAAAGTTCTAGCAGTTTGTCTAAAGGCACGATACCATGTTAGTTTAGTTTTTTTTTCAATTTTTAATTTTTTTATTTTAATTTCACTAGTTTTTTTCATTTTTATATAGTTTTATATAGTTATTTTAGTTATATATTAATATATCTATACATATTCTTCTCACACATCACACAATTATTATACGTTATCGTCATGTGTCGATAAATAGAATTTTCTGCCAATTTTTTTATAGAATTAACATCAACTACTCTAACCTAAAATTAATGAAGAAATTTAATTAATTAGTCAAAAATATAAGAGCAGAGTACCAAACCATCCTAATATTCTATATTAGGCCAAGAATTTATTGAAGTCGCACGGCATCGAACGGCTAAAAAGAAAACGCCCCCTCGACGGATCCGACACATTGACTTCCACATAATATATAATATATTCATTCTAATTAGCAGTACTACTTATTTAGTTGTTTATTTATATTTTGATTTATTTTTATTGTGTTTAGTTTATTAGTTCTGTCTTTTTTTATTTGTTGATATAATTCACAATTTATACTCATTTACCTCATAGATCTTTTTATTTTTAAGTTTACTCTATTTAATCACAAAATTTAAATTTAATATATCAAAATTGAAAAGGCTTACTACTGGGTAACCTTTTAGATCTAATGTTTAATATTTCATATATCATCAAAATGACTGACTGTCTTCCTTTTTGTAAAGACAGATTGTAATTCAATAAAGAGAATAAAAAAAAGTTTATACAAGACATGATCCACATATAAGCATATTAAATTTAAAATGAAACTGCATTTTCTACTTTTGTTTCTAGGCATTGCGCACAACCGGGATAAGGAAAAATGACCCGCGAATCGGAGAGATGATGGAAAATCTCGCCGTGGTGCACAGGAATTCAGGATTCGAAGGCGGTTCTCCTGAAACGCAGAAAATGGATAGGGAAACGTTCAGAAGGTTTGAATTTAAACTTCATGTTAATTAGTACATTAACATATAGCTCAAAGATCATAATGTCAAAATTAAATCAAAATTTAGTTGAAAAATATTACTTGGTTTGGTTTCCTTTATTTGTACATCTTCAGTTAATCTATAGAATTATATTCGATATTTACCGAAGACAACTCTAGTGATTTTAGTTGGCTCCAGCATATTTAGAATCAGGCCATTTTGCAGCATGATCTCTTGAAACAGTTTTGCATTCAGATATTGCACTCTGTGTCTTATGTTTACTTAATATTTCATTTTCTCCGATTAAGCCATCTTGATGTTTTATTTTTACTATTATAAAATTTCAAAAATAGAAAACCTACTACTAGCTAGTTGTCCAATAATTTTTTTTTCAATTTTCTACTAATTACTAAATATCGTGCTTACTCTTAAGAAAGTATATAATTGGAATTGCATACTTTCAATGCATTAGGAATTTAAATTTATTACAAAATAACAAATGTTGCATAATAGCAGAAATCGGATTTAATTAACAGTATTCTTGAACTATGCTGTTATTAGCAAGAGTAATACAAATATCAGGGTGGATTTTTAAATTTGTTATATTTTAGTAACATTAGTCTTACCCCATCGAAGACATATGGATGAATGATTGTTGTTTAGATTTAGAGTTATTATATAGCGTATATCCAGTTTTCTGTAAGTTGTAATCGATGCATCGGCGATTTTGATTTAACTAAGGTGACCATTTTCTTTAAGTCAAAACCGGGGCTGTAACTTGTTTTGCTAATCCGGAACAGGAGAGAGGGTGCATTACGCTAAATGACTTCAATATGATTTAAAATAACAAACACTATATTCATGAATGCAATAAACATCAGCTTTTTTAAATAAATCAAATGTTTCAATTCAGAATTACTGACTTTTATTAATACTTTTTTATTCGGTTATGTGTTAGGTTACATTCTACCTTACATTTTTGATCTATGCGATTTTCGATTTTAAGTCTTCTATGAAAAATGTTTTGATCTTTTTCATAATTAACATATTGTTAGTAATGAATAAGCACTTGTGCCATGTAGTGAAAAAATTCGTTTTCATAATTTTTGCTAATTCTCGTAAAGTTTCCGTTGTAATTTTATTGTGCAGATTCAGTTTAATCCTATACTATGTAAAAACCCAGGACCGTAACAAAAGTTCAAAATTCGGAACAAATAATGATTTTAGGAAAACCTGGGGTACAAGGTAGAAATCCGGGACTGTCCCGGCCAACCCGATACGTATGGTTACCTTATTTTAACTCTTATCCATTCATAACATTTTTTTTTAATTTTTAGAAACAACTTTCTTTATTTTAATTTCCATCAATGAATGTTTTTACTGAATTTCGATTATTTTTTTGTGTAACTTAAAGATTAAATTAAAGTACAAAAAACCTATTATTAATTAAGGTTTATCCATGTCTAACGCTATTGTTTTAAATTTTTGGGATCTCCTTTCTTTATTTTAATTTTTTAATGGAGAATAATAAAATCTGAAGATACAACAGATTTTTAGAGGTGACTGAGTACTACACAAACCTATGGCCAAGCTGTATTTCTTCAACAGAGTTTCTGAAACTTTGCGCGATTAGTAATCATGCCATAACTCAAAAATGGATGTTTGGATTTTGCTTCGTAATTTAAAAATGATTGAATAATGAAAAGCGCAGTAATAATACATCAAAACCTTGAACCTCCAAATGTACCAAATCAATTGAAATGAAATCAGTGTCAGATTATGCACTTGCAATAACTATCAATATGCTCCATTAACATTTGTATGATTAAGAATTCATTAAAAATAATTTTTCCCTTAGTTTCTGGCACTTGCAATAACAATCCATTAAGAATATTTTTTCCACTAGTTCCTTGTCCTCATATTTCCGACAATTGAAAATTCTCACTGTTCTCCTGTATATTTTTGCTAATTACATATAGAATAATCCTGAACGCTTCAACTTATCCTCCATGTCGAATTCCTATTATAATACAGGAAATTTGACTATAAAAGGACCAACTTTTAAATTTGAAACTTCTTTCAATACCATAAACTAAAGAGGAGTACATCTTTTTAATCTACTCCCACTATATGTTAGGGAATTGAGTGATCGTCATTTTCACAATACCATCGTTAAGCTTTTAAAAGCCCAAGTTTCTTCGATACTTCTAAATTTGCCAATTTCGATATCAAATAATATTTTGATAAGGAATGCCTACTAATAATATCTGATACGACTTTTTTTTCAACAGTTACAATTATTTTTTCCTTTTTCCATATTTTTATAATTTTTATTCCAGATTATTTGGAAATTTTTCTACTCTAAGTGTTTTATCATTACAATTATTTTCATATTATATTCTTTTTTTGAGACTGCCCTTAATTATTATTTTCCAAATTTTGGACTTAAATGAAAATTGCGTTACGGATATTTAAAGGTTTCGTTTACCATCAAATGAATCTCAAGATCTACAAGCCTTAAATAAACTATCTCAATATTATAACATTTTTTCTTCAAGTTATTAGATAATACCAATGTATGGTTTAATATTGCTTTAGAGTTGTGTTTTACTCTAATAAATTCAATTAAGATAATTTATTTTTTGTAATTATTAAATTTAACACTTTGGGGACGGCTGTCCACCTCAGTGGACAAACATACTCTGTGAGGCACACGCTATTTTATAAACAGTGTTTCAGTTTGAATCGAAAAGTTGAATAAATTACATATAGCAGTGATAAACATTATTGTATTTTGAAAAAAATTTAAGTTCTTTTAGTAGTATTGTTAGCCTTTTTCTTTGCTATATGTTTTTTTTAATATTTAAAACGACCGAGCGCTTTTACATTGGCAAAACGACTGGTAAATTTTGTGAATTAAGCAGTAGTGAAGATGGGTTTCAAATAGACATTCATACAGACAAATTTTACGAAATTACCATTCGCACCGATGATAGTGATGAATGTGATGATGATATTATCCAACCAACAAAAAGAAGAAAAAGTTCGATAAACTAAATGAAGAGCGGGAAGACATTAGCGAATGTGCCGATTCTCCTTCAATAATCGAGTTTGACATACATCAACAAACACCCCGACTACAAATACCAAGCAATATAAAACATCCAATAGATTATTTTATAAATGAATTATTAGACAATATAATAGAAAAAATAAACCGTTATGGCAGCAAAAAATGACCAAATATACTGACTAATCAGTGGCATATTCTAAATGCGAGTGATAGAAAAAGGGATTGTATTGTCTGTTCTGACAGAAAAGCACTAGGTGGAAGGCGGCGAACAACATTTTATTGTAAAACATGTCAAAATCAACCAGCTATGCATTTTAGAAATTGTTTTGAACGTCACCATTCTTTATAAAATGATCAAAAATAAATTATTATTATAAATGTATGTCCTTCAATAACCACAAATTTTTATCAAACAAATTGCATAACATACATAATAAAATCAAGTTTACAGCCGGTAAAGTAGATTGTTTTGAAATCGGTGCCGTCCTGAAAGTGTTAATACTGTATCCCAAATATAAATATAAATATAAATATGTGGTATGCAGTGCGTAGAAGTTCTACATTCACAATCAGAGTTTTTACACTAACAATTTTCTAGAAATATTTTTTATGGGCAAAGAAAGTTGGTCTGGCACTGGCTAGTAAATACACATGACCATATTTTTTTGTCAAATCCGGGATGGCAATTTTTACTTACGTTTATCAGGGACGGAGCTAGGTAAGGATACGATACGAATCATTTTTTTGAATCAGAATTGCGGATTTTTTTATTTGATTACATTTATTAACTATGGTATTATATTATATCTTATATTTTTTTTATCTATATGTTTTATCGCTCGAGTCTTGTATAAAATTCTATTTAATTTTCTTCGTACTTAATTTGAAAACAAATGGCATATGTTTGTTTGTCTCAAATAATCTCAAATAATTTGTCTCGATAAATTTTATTAATTTTTCTATCAATTTTCGAAAAACCGGGACAATTCGGGACAAATGAACTAAATCCTGGACATATACTGCTTTTGAAAAAACCCGGGACACAAGGTGGAAATGCGGGACTGTCCCGGCCAAACCGGGACGTATGGTCACCTTAATATTATATTAAACTGTTCTTACGTGCAATAATGTTAATTTTGATTTTAGATATATTATAAAAGTATATCATTTGCAGCGTGGTGGCGCCGAACATCGTGCTGATAGCGCGCGCGTTCCGTCACCAATTCATAATTCCGGACTTCCAAGGATTCGCGAAGGACTTGGAGGAAGTGTACTGGAAGTGCAAGGGCAATAACGATGGCAAGGTGGGCAGACCGTCGCGCGTTGTGAACCCGGACGACGATCCCGCCGGCGAAAATGTACTAGCAAAAAACGCCCACTCACGATGGTCAATGCACGACACACACAATAATCGTTCGTTAACAATTAAACACGCCATTATAAACGAGTTGCATCATACGAGAAATATTATTGATAATTAAGTAATGGATAAATCGCGTAACATTTTATGGTTAGATTAAAGAATATATATTGATTTTTATTGTCCTTATCATTTCATATCATTTCATATCATTGGACTATTCAGCTAAAAATTATACTAATAGACAATTTGTTTTAGAAGCTATTGATATTGCATCTAAACTGAAACAATCGACTGCTGAACTATTAATAGGCGGCTTTTAGAATTCCAATCCATTAATCGGCTATTAACAACTTAGTGAATGGTTGCCTCGGTCAATAGAGCTAGAACGTCAAACGTATTGTAGAACTGTAACAATAACACAAAACACCCGAGAATAAAAGCGAAAACATAGCCTTCCAGCTGTCTTGAAATATCTTCAAAAAAATTTGGAGATTTTTATTACTTTTATCAGAACCTTGTATTCCTTCAGCACTGAATATCAACCATAAGCATCGGCACTAAAACATTTTACTACAAATATTTGACTTTATCTATTAACACGTTTTTTATTGTGATGCTGATTGACATGAATGCTATAGCATTCAAATTTTAAAGTCAATTATTTTGAATTTAATTTCATATAACCTTACGCTTTTGTAATTATTATACCTGTCAAAGTAGCCACTAACCGATTCTTAAGGCATTTTCGTATTATTTTATCTTTCCTTATAGTAAAAAAGAATACTCGACGTGGATGCTATAGCATTTATGGTATTTAACGATTAAAATATGATAATCTGACTAGAAACGGCGCTTAATCAAATTTCACAATCAATTTAAAATAAGCGTCAATTTTTGTGCCTTGCCGAAACGTTTGCTGTTCGCGAACGTGTTAAAGCAGTATATGTTTCGACTTTTAATCGGTATTAGTTAAACGCTCTTGCAATTTTGTTAATATAATTTGAGCCACATTTTTTGTTTCATCTAAATTCCCTTTTAAATACCCCACAAATAGTTACCATTATAAAATCAAAATGTAATGTAATTTGTATTTTTGAAATCTAACATTGGCAATGTACATGGAAACATTTTTCTTCAAATTCGGTGAATTTTTCTTTGCCTAAACTAAAAACTACAATGAAAATTAAAATTACCAATAGCTTAATTCATAGTGATGAATCTTGAATCAAAGTCCGACACGCAACATGTCGTCTCCGTATACACAGGTAATCGAGTGGATGTCGTTTATGAACGACCCTCGTAGCGAAAGAGTTAATATTAATTGTAATAAATAAACAGTGAACTAAAAGATCTTCTAAAACTTAGTTCTAAAAGGTAGTCTTCAATCTTCTATTTCTACAATTATAAATTGTGCTAATATATACATAAACAAAAAATACAAATCACGCAATAAAATTTTAAAAGTTAATAATAATTAGTGTTGATATCACAGTAAAACTTACCATCTTTTCCTGAAGAAAACTGAATAAATTTTTATTACATTTTTGCTCATGAAATTATCACATTCTTACTGTTATTGTGTATTTTATATTACCATTCCCAATTATAAATTTATTATTTATTACACCGCTTAGCTATTGAATGGTTTAGCTTTTGATTGATCTATATGCTGCTGTTCGGGCCAGATTTTCTCTACGAAGGAAAAAGTTCAATCATTTTTTTACACTCATAACACTAAACAAATTTTGCACTTTAAACATAACAGTTCCAAGAAAATATTTAGACATATGCAGCTCGATAGCTCCACACTGAACGATACAACAATTTTGTCACATAGCACTTGCGATTATTACATCATAAATGAAAATAAAAACCTTTACAAATCTGAATACATCAATCTGTACGGCATAACACCACGTTGTTGAAAAGTCAAAGGCGGGAAAATTTAAAAGTGGAATCATACTGCTTCTAAAATATATACATATATTAATTTGAAAGACAAGTCACACTACTGCCATTTTTTTATAAAAATGTGTACGGCGCTGCCGTAAAAAACGTATACAACTAAACATGTCTTTAAATAACAAAGTGGCCCACCCAAAGAACTTGATTTTTGAAATATTTTTTTTTCAATGTTTAGTTGTTAATTAATAAGTCACTTATTAACTACTCTTTACTATATATTTTTGCACACAAATAGACGACACACACACGCGCGCGCATATGTATACATATATATATATATATATATATATATATATAACTATCATATATATATATATATATATATATATATATATATATATATTAGGGTGGTCCTTAATATGGACATTTTCGAATTTCCTTGCTCGCAGGGGCTCAAATGCTACCAAAATGATAAAAAAAAGCCTCTATGAGTTTTAACTCTTAATATTGTGTCATAGATAGCTCGCAATTCAAAGTTTTGTATAAAAATAGTATGAAAAATTTTCACAAATTAAAAAAAAATTTTTAGATATAACTTAGCAAACAAATGTTTTGCAGAGCGTCGAATTTTCAATAAAAGATGTCACGAATTGTCACTTTTAATTCATTTGTCGATTGAATTTCGCACTATCTAAAAGTTAATATTAAGAGCTAAAACTTTTACAGATTTTTTTTTATCAATCTTGAAGCCCCTGAGAGCAAAAATGTCTAATTTTTCAAAAATAAAATTCAAAAATGTCTATATATATATATATATATATAATAACTAGTTTTTGAAAAAAATATCAGAATTACAATTCAACATATTTAAATTCCAGAACAAAAAAACTCATTATTCCGGAAAAAGTATTTATCGTCACGTATGATGCAACTTATTCCCAATGCAAAATCAGGCAGACTTATAGAAAAAATCAATTAGATTTTGCTTATTCCTTTTATTTAAATACATATTTAAATAAGTTAAAAAAAAGTCAGGTTGAAAATAGTTAAGTAGTTATTTAACTACCTGGCTGCATATCTGATCTATTGTTAACACAATTAATTGTTTGGACAGAAATTAAATTGTAGACTGTCTGGACATGGAAATCATAAATTTGTTTTGTTGTTTGTGGTTATTATATTTATTATTTGCATTTTTTAGTTGAATCAATATTTTTGGGAATTTGGTGCATGTAAATCGGGAATCTTCAATTAGTACAAAAAATATTGAATTTATTTACAGCTTCCGGAGATACTAGTTATCTCTCGCGTTTAATATTGTATAATTAGGCTACCATATAAATCTTTGTGTAAACCAAGAATTATATCGTAAAACAATTATGTCTGAATAAAATTTACTATACTGTATTTACTGCAGACATTAAATTTTCAATTCCATATTCAATAATTAATTATTGATCACAAATGCAAAAACAAAATATGATTTTTTTTTTAATATTATTTTTTGCAGTTATGTAAAATTTACTATAAATCTGTCTGCTACTTGTTTCTATAGCCTTTGCACGAATTCAAAAATAACCAAAAAATCATTAATTACTAATGCTATAAAATATTAAATATTATTCTAATTTCTGCATTATACATGCTTATTCATATCTGCACAAGTACTACAAGCACATAATTTACGTGTAAAGGCTATTTTCGAATATACATTCAGTTCTCACTAATACCAAACAAATACACATTTTTGTTCATAAAATATACCGTTTTAATTTTTAATAGTTTTAAATCAAGCAGAAATATGGCATTTATAATCAAACAAAATTAATAATAAGTTGTAGAAGAGTATGTTTTTGTTGTAGTATCACCCTTGATATAAAAACGACTGCTCAATCGTTGCATCAAAACATACATTTTTATAACGATTTTAAGAATACGAACAAGAAAGTTTTAATATTAAATACATTAATTTCAACAAATTACTAATTTATTGATTTAAGAAATAAAACTGATTATATTAAATCAGATTTGCTTGATTAACATAATACATTGAACTCGATTTACATAGCCTACAAATCTACACAACACATTGCACATTGGCTAACTTGTGGGGCATCTTGGTCAGCGGGATATTGTGTCGTCTGTGGTTTATCAATGTAATTATATATATATATATATATATATATATATATATATATATATATATATATGTATATATATCGATTATATAATCGTATATTAATGCTATATACGAATTAATATCGAGCTCTTCTAGGATTTATTGATCAAAGTTCTAAATATCAAACAATTGATCAGTAGGTATTTACCATTTTTTGACACGAATTTATTATTATTTAATTACACTATTTAATTAAATATTGTGGTTTTTTAATTTTCATGTCTATGTCAAATAAATATTCTCCAGACGGGCACGATATTATTTTTTTTTGAAAATATAAAAACATTATTATAACAATTTTGTTATAATGCAATCAAATATAGTATCAAATTGCAGGTGAGTTTAGCATGGTAATATGTTTTTTAAATATGCTTTTTAATGTCGTTTGCTTCAATATAATATAAAAAGGCTACGATAACGTAAGCCTTTTATTTATGTTTGAAATAGATTGTGTAAGTTTGATATATTATAAAACATTATGAGAAATATTTGGTATTCGCATAAAATATTTTCATGGAAAAATGATTGGCTTTAGTTAATTAAAGATAAAGCAAATAATATAATCCAAGAAATGAGAAGTTGTAGAAAACTAAAACTAATGAATTTATGGAAACAAAAGCTGATTTAATTTCTTGCAGATAAATATTTAAACGTGTTTTCTTTTAAAGAAACTATACAACAATTTAAAAACTATAACAATATAAATTTGAATTATAATTTTACTTTCCTCATATTCCACTGTTCAAGTGACCATGAAAAGCAACCCAATAGCCCTTCATTTCTAATTGCAATATATTTAATTTTAAGCCAAATTTAGCCAAAATGCCATTTTTATTTGATACCATAATCAGATCTATATTTTTAATGCAGTAGCAAAATCTGTTCAAAAACCTTGTAATTACAAAGGAAGGAGAAGTTTGTTTTCATCAAAAAATCCGATTCGCTAATTATATGTTTTCTCGACCTTTCAAGCCATTCTGAATCGAATGAGACCAAATTTGGAAAAAGTATGTGTGTGTGTGTGTGAACAGATTTCTTGCCGTAAATCGACGTTTTCTCAAAAACGGCTGGACTGGTTTCAAAAATTAAAAAGCCATTCGATGTATCTCGATGAGGACTAGCGTTTATAAATTTTGCGCGACGATCAGCCAAGCCGTTTCCTTGTAAATCGCAGAAAAGTGAAGAATTTTTCGTCCACGTTTTAGCCCGCAATCCTGAATCGATTTTGAAAATTCAAGAACTGTTCGAAAGATATCGGTTGGGAATTGTGTTGATTAGTTTTTGGTAGAGATTGGCCGGGTCGTTTTCTTGTAATAAAGTGTTAAATTTTTTTTGAACAATTTTTATGATTTAGTAGTCTTATAAATCATACTAAAATATTACGGCTCTACGACAAGTCGTTTAATTTTAAAAATTCTTCAAAGTATGCAAAAATTAGTATATTTTTTCGCATTTGTCAAAATTAGACCTTTTATCGACGTTTGTTCAAAAACGCCTGAACCGATTTCAGAAATTTAAAAACCATTTGATGTATCTGAATGAGGACTATCGTTTGTCAGTTTTGTGCGACGATCTGCCGAACCGTTTATTTGTAATTTGGAAAAAACTTTTCGTCCACATTTAAGCTCATACTTCATACCGAATCGATATTAAAAAATCAAAAACTCTTCGAAAGATATTAGTTGGGAAAGGTGAAATCTACCGAGCTGTTTTCTTGTAATTATCTGTTAAAAAAAAATTAAGCCGATTTTTATGGAACTTATTTTGGCAATATATATCATAGTCTAATAGAACTTACTAAAATATTACGGTCTTACGATAAGTAGTTTAATTTTAAAAATTCATCAAAATTTGAGAAAATTAGTAGTTTTTTGAGGTTTGTTAAAATTAAAATCGGACGATTTACTTGATATAACGATAAAGTACTTGGTCTTAATGAAAATACTAAACCATTAAAGTCCTATAGAAACTGGTTCAATTATAAAAATTGTTGATTTTTGAAAATTTGTTTTTAGAAAATACTCCGAGATTTAATGTGTTAGTTCGTTTTCAATTATGTGTTCAATAAATCCACTCGGAATACTTTTAATCATTCATAAATTAATTTATTTTCTATTAATAAAATCGATTATTTACACATATCGGGAAGTTCATGTTAACTTGCCTTAAGGCAAAATTCCAATACCAACTAGTTATTTTATTTGAACAGTAATCAGAACTTTTATGAGCTATTGTGATGAATTCCTTTTACAAACTACATCGGTTTCTTTATAGATAGCAACTCAAACAGTTGTCGTTCACTATGTGATACAGTAATGCCGAGTAAGGGCTATTTTCACTTCGAAACATATTGCTATCTATATTTCCAAGTCAAAACCGATGTCACTACTGCGTGACATCAGGCTGCTCGAAACGGGTAACGAACGCGGAATCACTGATTTAAATCCCGTTGTTCTAATCGTATAAGCAATATGAATTCGAAATCTAATTTTACTTTCCTCATTTTCCACTGTTTACGTGAGCATTAACTGGTTCTGTTTACGAGCTCGCGTCTAAATGTAATTTTACCATGAGCCATTCTTATATTTGTTATAGCGATGTTGTATATCATACCAGTAAAGTTAGTTTGCGAAGTGATAAATCACGAAAAATTATAATCTGTTTGAATTTTGATTGTTAAACAGATACGGTACAATGTGCGAATATATTCTGTTGTCTATTTACATTGGGATCAACGCAGGAGTCGGTGGCGATGAAAATATGCGAACTATCGCATCATAGCGTGGAAATATAGATATTATAAATATTTTAGTTATATTCTATTTTATATTTTGTCATGTGATTCGAATGAGAAATTCAAACTCTTCGTGCATGGAATCGTGCCTTGTGGTAAATTGATGGAACTTCCCGCACCAAAAATTTAAATTTTTGAAGAAGCTTTAAAATTTTTGAGAATTCTTAAATTGTTGAAAGAAATTGACTTTAAAAATTTTTTTTATATACTTTGAAAATTTAGAACTTTTTTTCAAAGCACGCGCTGCGTAGCTATTTTAAAGACGAAATGTCCAAGCGCGTAAGCGCCGCGTTGCAATCGGTACGGAACCCATAAAAACGTAAACAATATTTGTACTTGTTTTTAAATTCTCTATAAAATATTTCATAATTTGATGTGCATACGTCTAATGATCATTTTTGACCGCCAAATGACGTTTTTTTTTTACTTTTTTATTAGATCTCCGAAACCGCCGGACCTTCCGTTCCAAAAACTTGATCAGCTATTCATTTTGTCAAATAAATTGTTTGTCACATATTAAAAGAAAAGTTAGACATGAAAAAGCCGTTCGCGTATTTGCTGCCGCGTTTGCTCACATTAGGCCAATGTCATGTTCGAATGGACATTTTCAACGTTCTTTAGGCGTAATAGATCTGATTTTTGGTGTCGATTAAATACTGTAGATGAATCTTTGATTTACCATTATATTCTTAAAACAACGGTGGACTGCAAAGAGGAAAACAGCTACAATAAGAACAATAGCAGTTATTATGGCTAGTCATGGTGTTATTTTAATCGACTATCTTCAAAAGGTAAAAACCAATACGAAAGCATACTACGCATCGTTGCTTGACTTACTAAAGACATAAATTGCGGGAACCACATTGGCAGGAATAGAAAATCCTGTTTCACCAGGACAACGCGCCGTTGCCTTTGCTGTGGCAAAAATCCACCCGTTGGAACAGCTTGACCATCTACCTTTCTCACCAGTTCTGCCCCTGCTAAAACGCTAATTCTTTTTATTTTCTCATCTAAAAACAGCCCTCGGAGCACATAGATTTTTGCCAAATGTCAAATGATTTTTGCAATGAAATTTGCCAAGTACTATTTGGATGGTACTATTTTGGACACTATTTGGTAGTGTGTAGAGTTATAAGGAGTTAATACTCAAATACAAATAAAAAATAAGAAAAAAAAAATTTGTTAAGCCGTAAACTTTTCAGCCCACCCTTGTATATACGATATATTTCAAAGTTCAAAGCAAACCACAGCTTTACTGAAATTGTGACCATTGTTCATTTCTCAAATGTTTGATTGTACGCTAAATTTCACTTTCTATTATGAGCAAACATTACAGATTAATAAACATTGTTTATTAATCTGTATAGCATGTATAGCAATATCTGTTATATTCTGCATAGGTTGCTAGCTACATTCCACAGCTGGCTCGCATGAACCCTGATTTTTGGGGTGTGAGCGTCTGCACCATTGACGGACAAAGGTTGTCGATTGGAGATTGCAATGTGCCATTTACTTTACAATCTTGCAGGTAAATTAATATATTACATACAGCACAATTTACTATAAAACTGCAATATAAAACTTGACGAAACTTTCCTAAAAATTGTTTAAGAAGTTTTTTAAATAAATAAATGGAATCATTTAATTTATAAAATAAATTATTGTATAAAAAGAAAGAGCTGGGCCAGAAAAGCTCAGTGAATAGGACCTTTTACGTGTTCTTTACTCTGTCACATAAAATTTATTAAACGAATGGCCCAAGTTATTAAGCACTGAAAATGGATTTGTTAACGATTTCAATTACATTTCTGTTTTTAATACTTGATTTTTCTAGTGAAGTGCCGACTTGAAACTTTACTGATTGAATGATTCGAATCAGAGGGAAACCAGATTCGTACAAATAAAAGCTAACAATAAGATAAAAAAACATCGATATATTTATTGTAAATGTGACTATTTACGATAAAAATATTTTTATCGTAGGTAAAAACCATATGGTTGAGTTTAACCAATATACTCGACAAAGTAAAGATTATAATTGTAAACATAAAATCAAGAAATATATTACAAAAATCATTAAAAATAATTTAATTTTGAAAACGGTTGAAATATTTGGAATCTCGAATCTATTGGGTCTATTGATATTTTATTTTATTTTATAAACGTATTCGGCCAACTATTGAGAAGTCGAATGGCTTGTATCTCACATGTAAGCAAGTTTATTTTTTTATTTATATATTTATTAACATTGCTTTTTATATATTTATTAACATTTATGTTCATACAGGTTGTATCTCAATAAATATTTCTCAGCTTCGAATCAACTTGTTGAGGCCTTGATTCGAATGATTCGAATCACTTGATTCGAGTTGGTTGGATCTTAATTAATAAATAATTCTGTTTAATTTGTTAAAGCAAATTAATTTTAATAATGTATTATTTTAGTAAACCGTTGACATATGCCATAGCATTGGAAAAGCTAGGCCAGGCGACGGTTCATCAATATGTCGGTCAAGAACCAAGTGGTAGAAACTTTAATGAACTCGTACTAGATTATAATAGTAAGTATTGACTTTTTTGCTTACTTTTCATAATAAAACATTATAATCAACCCGATTCTCCTATTCGTAGAAAGACCGCATAATCCTATGATAAACGCTGGAGCGATATTGGTTTGTTCGTTATTGAAAACTTTAGTCAAACCTGAGATGACTCTAGCTGAGAAGTTCGACTATATGACCACATATTTTAAGGTAAACTTTAATAATAGAATTCGTTAATTATAAAATTGATATATTGGTATAAACTTTGTAACAATGAGATAATATTCGATAAGATGCTTTAGGTTTTAGGATAATATAATGTGTTATCCATTTTAGATTGAAAATATATTTGCGATTGAAAAAAAACCTTACGGTGTGAAATAGCAATGAAAATGTCACGCAATAAACTTCGAGCGTATAAAAAAACTTAATTTTCAGCGCATTTATTCATTTTTTGTACAGATATTAGCAGGTAGATATCCATATTATCCCGGCAGTGCTATCGATTTTAAACTTCTCTGAGTCGAGTTGGAGTTTAACCTATTGTCAGTTCACAGATTTGCATTCGCCCAATGCATTCGTTATTGTTTTGTATTTATAAAAAGAGGTGTTTAACGAAATTAAATATTTTTCGTGCAGAGATTGGCTGGTGGAGAGAGTCTCGGCTTCAACAACGCGGTGTTCTTGTCGGAACGCGAAGCCGCCGATAGAAATTACGCTCTTGGTTTTTACATGAGGGAACACAAGTGCTACCCGGATAAAACTAATTTACGTGAATGCATGGACTTTTATTTTCAAGTAAGTAGACGCCAGTGTTGTATAGAATTATATTTAGCTAACTGTATTCAAATATATCAGATAAATAGTGGTGTATGGAATCGTGCCTTATGACAAATGTCTGGAACTTTCCGTACCTTAATCTATTTTCTAAAGCTTTACAATTATGAAGACTATTTTGAAAAATTTTGATTTTTAAGAAAAATTGCACTTTTTTAAAAAATGTTCATCTATTTTTTTTTAATTCTGATTTTTTTAAAGCAATTGCGCTGCATAGACGCTTTAGATACGAAATATCGAAGCGCGTCAGCGCAGCGCCCACAGAAATGTAAACAAAATTTCTACTTTTATTTAAAAACTCTATGAAATATCTCAATCTGATGTGCATATGTCTAATAATTATATTTGACCGCCAAGTGGCGTTTTTTTTCTTATTTTATTTCCGGGAGGGTAAGTTATAGTAATCGCAAAAAATTGTAAATTAGCATTTCTATTTATCTTTACGGTTTTTATGTTTCAAAGATTTCTGAACATTTTGCCGAATTGATGTATGTATGTGTGTCCGGATACAAATTTTTGTCGACGATTTCGGGAACACGGATCAACCGATTTGAATAACTAAAAAACATGCGATATCTTTTGATTCGGAGACGTGCTGATTAGCTTTTGGCAAAGGCGCAAAAAATGATAATTCAGTTTTTGAGATAACGGAGCGTTCGATTTGAATAATAGATCGATAAAATTATTTGTAAGAAACAGCTCTGCCAATCGTTTGGTAAACTTAACGAACACGTGTTCTTACCGAACTTCATTGTAAGGTTGTTTAATTTTTTAAATCGGTTTCATACGAATACATAGTTTGGTCTCAAATGAATTAAATTATATTATTTCATATAGTTATAAACTAAAATTTCTCTAATGAAATAACCAAATTATCTAATTTTTCTTATTTTAGTGTTGCTCCATGGAGGCAAATTGCGACAGCATGGCAGTAGTTGCTGCCACTTTAGCAAATGGAGGAATTTGTCCGATAACTGATGAAAAAGTCTTAAGACCAGATGTCGTCCGAGATGTCTTATCATTAATGCACAGTTGCGGAATGTATGACTACTCTGGACAATTTGCGTTTAAGGTTATTACCTTCATTAAATTTAATAATAGATACCTGCTGGTGTATGACAGTGTGCTCCCGTTATTTTGTAGTTTATTTTTTTTTAGTTTAATCGAAACCTAATAATAAAAGAAATACTAAACGGAGTTGAAATGTTTTGCTTGCCGTATTATTGCATTTAATAATACTTTTAATCTGAAACTGCAATTGCAGGTCGGATTACCAGCAAAATCCGGTGTCTGTGGGGGCATGTTGGTAGTCATACCAAATGTTATGGGCATCTTTACATGGTCTCCACCCTTGGATCCACTTGGAAACAGTTGCCGAGGAGTTCAATTCTGCGAAGTAAGAATACAATTTATGAACTGATTAAAAATATTGATTAATCTGGGAGATTTCTCAGAAAGTGAAAAGATAAAATTGAGTATTCAAGTTGTATAATAAAAAATGTGCTTATGAGTGCTATACTGCATCCATTTAAATATAAACTCTGTGTATTAATGAAACATTTATGAAATTACAAGAAATAATTATAAATGTTTTTAGGAATTGGTACAAGTTTTCAATTTTCATCGGTACGATAACTTGAAACACGCCAGCAACAAAAAAGATCCAAGAAGACACAGATATGAGACCAAAGGGTTGAGCATTGTTAATCTTCTGTTCTCAGCAGCTAGCGGTGATGTTACAGCCCTACGCAGGTATTAATTCTTTCAAATATGATCGAATTAATTATTGCATTTTTGTTTGTCTTTTTGCAATAACAATTATATGGTTTGTGATAATTTGAATATTTCAATCATCTTTCAATTTCGGCAAGGCAAGGTGCACGACTTATAGATAAATATTATGGCGTTTTAATTATAACATTGTTTTTGACTTTAGGCACAAGCTGTCCGGTATGGACATCACCCTGTCAGATTACGACGGTCGTACCGCTTTGCATTTGGCGGCTGCCGAGGGTCACCTTGACTGCGTGGCGTTCCTTCTGGAGCAAGGACGGGTACCTCATGATCCCCACGATCGCTGGGGCAATGCTCCTCTTGATGAGGCCGAGACTTTTGGACATCATCACGTGGTGGAATTCTTGAGAGCTTGGGATGAACGCGTACGGAGCGGGGAGGTAATATATGTGTATATACAGGGTGCTTCAAAAAAATGTATACATACTTTGAACTTCTATAGAAAATTTATTTACCGTTCTACAAAGTTAAATTTCAGGAAAATAGAAAGCTGAAAGTCCAATGTAAATGAAACATAAATAACAAATGTTAATACTGTTCAAATTGGTGACCTGCAACATCAATACAATTCTGGGTACGAGTCACCACTGATTCTTTACATCAAAAGGTTGCAATTTTGTGAATAGATTCAGGAGATGGTAAAACGTGAACCGGGATTTATGGGTAGCATCATTTAGCCTCGCACTATCACAGGGACGTACGAGCTTATCTGGATCAAAATTTGTCGGGCCAGTGAATAGGACGGCCAATCGAGTTTCCAGCACGCTCTCCAGACCTTACACCACTGGATTTCTTCTTGTGGGGCACAGTAAAAGATGAGGTGTACAAACGTAAACTACGTAACCTAGACATTCATTAGAATGAGATGTAGAGAAATTTTATTGGACGTTTTGATACGATGTACAGAATCAGTGGTCATTTATATTGGACTTTCAGCTTTCTATTTTCCTGAAATTTAACTTTGTAGAACGGTAAATAAATTTTCTATGGAAGTTCAAAGTGTGTATACATTTTTTTGAAGCACCCTGTATATGTAATATATATCATGTTCACAGGTCCGTGCCTGTGTATGTTGACGCCTGCGTGCAAGCATTTTTTTGCCGCCCTTGAAAATAACATGATAGGAAAATATCAAATATGTTCTCACAGAAAAATTTGACTTGTAATTTTTATGTTTTCTTTGCGTTTCTAGTCATTCGAAACGTTCGAGACCAAATTTGAAAAAAAGTGTGTATATGAGCCGAATTTTATTTTTTGCCAACGTTTTCTCTTAAAAACGGTTAAATCGATTAGTTTTCGACAACCGTCTGTCAATTTGTGCAACAATCGGTCAAACCGTTTCTAATCAACAGAAAAGTGTACAAATTGTCGTACACGTTTTAGCTAAAAATCCTGCATCGTTTTTGAAACTGTTTGAAAGCATTTGGGAATCGTGCCGATTAGTTTTAAGAGATCGGTCGGATGGTTTCTTCGTATTTAATTGTTAAATATTTCTTTACGATGATATTTATAAAACTTTTTTGCGATAGAGATCATGATCTCAAATATTACTAAATATTTCGACCTTACGACAAGTCGTTTTAATTTTCAAAATATTATCAAAGATGAAAAAGTGAACAGCACTTTTTTACGTGAGGCACAATTTCATCTTTAGTCAACGTTTATTTAAATATGCGCAATCCTATTTGAAAATTCGATGACATTCGATAAGCACTCGTGCTGGTTAATTTTGTCTCACGATCGGCCGAGCCGTTTTTTTAGGATTGTCAAAAGTGTCAAATTTTTCGTCAACGTTATAGCCTAAATTCGATAATCGTTTTTGAACATTCAAAAACCATTACAAAAGTACTATTTGAGAATCGTGCTGATTAGTTTTTGTCAAAGATCGGTCGAGTCGTTTCTCAGTTTTTGATTCACAATTTTTTTTGGCGATTTTGGATCCTGTTCTTAATGAACATAGTACACGTTTATTTCTTCTTCAATAATATTTAATATTTAAACCATTTATGAAAAATAACTAACATGTTTGAAATTTTTTTACAAAATTGAATAATCTGCGATAGTTCTTCACATTGCAATGCACTCATGAATTAATATATTTTTTATTGTTAAGTCGATTATTTGCTCGTGTCGAAAAATTCATGCATCTTGCTTTAAGGCAAAGTCGCACCTTACACCAAGTTTATACACTTAATAATTTGAAAAGAAAGCTTTCAATAGCCGCTTTTTGATTCGATCTAGCCTTCAATACGGCCGCCTTCGACTGATTTTGACTACGGTCGTCTTTTAACTCAGCGGATTTTCAATACGTCCGCAAATGAGTTTAAGGACCACCGGACTTTTAGTTTGGCCGCCTCTTAATCCAGCGGTGTCTCAATTTGGCCGCCTTTCAATTCAGTGGACTTTCAATGCGACCGCTATTTATTACGGCCGCTTTTCGTGTATGGCCGCCTTTAAATTTGTTCTTTTTTTGATTCGGCCGACCCCAAAAGGCGGCCGCTTGCGTACGGTGCACGCACTGCACGCTGGCGAGGCACGGCCCTGAGGGCATGATATGCTATCGACGTTTCAGAACTATTAGTAGAAGAGCCAGTGAACTATTTGACTAACCTGTCTTCACAAAGCCAGAAATTTTTTTAATGATATTTTATTATCGGCCCATTAAGAAAATACCATTCTGGCAGTCATTCCGCGGTTGCGTCATCATCCCTTCAATTTGTGAAAATGTAAAAAAAAAAATTTTTATAACTTGCTCGCACAAGGCTCAAATTTTGAGGGTGTCTTCTTTTAACTGTTCAGAGAGCATATGTAAAAAGCCAGCCCATTCTGACGGTTGCAAGGGTCTGCCAGACGAGAACATAATAGTCATGACGCGCAAGGGTGTGGGCGCATTGCCATACATAATTGACTAATACCCTTGTATTTGAGTAATTTATACGCCATTTTGAAGGTCATTTTGAAAACATTCGTTATACCAAACTTCCACTTTGTATCTCACCTTATGGCCGAGATATCATTGAAAATATGCCAAAGTGGCCCCTTTTTCAAACTCAATTTTTGGCGTAACCATAAAAGATATCGAAAAAAAAAATTACGTGATTCTACTTATATTGGCTTAAACCACATAATGTATAGTAATATATGCTAAATAATCCTTTATTATTAGCTAAAAAGGATAAAATAATTTTTCAATTAATGTTTTCGGATAGTGCATTTTGTTTAATTACTTTATTGTTAGCGTTATTTAAAAGCTTATTGTTTTCTCTTTTAGTACTGCAAATATGGTTTAAATCAAATTTGTGGAACACATTGAAAAATTGAAGAAACCAGAATCAGTACACCCGCGCGTAACGCTAATAGTAGCCCGCATAGAATTCGTTCGGTCGGATGTGCGATGCGTTACGCGCGGGTGTACTGGTTCTGGTTTCTTCAATTTTTCAATGTGCTCCACAAATTTGATTTAAACCATATTTGCAGTACTAAAAGAGAAAACAATAAGCTTTTAAATAACGCTAACAATAAAGTAATTAAACAAAACGCACTATCCGAAAACATTAATTGAAAAATTATTTTATCCTTTTTAGCTAATAATAAAGGATTATTTAGCATATATTACTATACATTATGTGGTTTAAGCCAATATAAGTAGAATCACGTAATTTTTTTTTCGATATCTTTTATGATTACGCCAAAAATTGAGTTTGAAAAAGGAGCCACTTTGGCATATTTTCAATGATATCTCGGCCATAAGGTGAGATACAAAGTGGAAGTTTGGTATAACGAATGTTTTCAAAATGACCTTCAAAATGGCGTATAAATTACTCAAATACAAGGGTATTAGTCAATTATGTATGGCAATGCGCCCACACCCTTGCGCGTCATGACTATTATGTTCTCGTCTGGCAGACCCTTGCAACCGTCAGAATGGGCTGGCTTTTTACATATGCTTTCTGAACAGTTAAAAGAAGACACCCTCAAAATTTGAGCCTTGTGCGAGCAAGTTATAAAAAATTTTTTTTTTACATTTTCACAAATTGAAGGGATGATGACGCAACCGCGGAATGACTGCCAGAATGGTATTTTCTTAATGGGCCGATAATAAAATATCATTAAAAAAATTTCTGGCTTTGTAAAAACAGGTTAGTCAAATAGTTCACTGGCTCTTAGACTATATGTTCATTTTATCTTCAATAATTTGTCAAGAACATATTCTGAAAGTTAGTTAAAAGATAAACAACAAAAATTATATAATAAAAATATAAATGTATATATATTATATAAAGAATTAGGAAAACAAAATTAAATTCTTCAAATAAAAAAGTTATAAAAATAACGAAGTTATTTACCTTGATGATTAATTTGAAAACACTCCGTATAATTATCAAAACAATTTTTTTAATATTTTATCGCAGATGAATAACTTATTTTCTATTGAAAACGTTTTAACTTTCTCTTTAAAAGTTTTTATTTTGGCATTTCTTTTTAATTAATTTATTTATATTTTTTATAATATTAGTTTTATCGTATATCTTCAAATTAATTTTTAGAATATGTTCTTGGAAATATGTCCTGAAACTGGAAGGTACTTAGTTCCGAAATGCTGACAATAAATCCATGATTATTTGAAGAAACTTTTTTGTGTCTTAATTCTATCTTGGATTATTTGTTCAAATATTTATATATATATATATATATATATATACATATATATATTTCTTAAAGTAGTATTCCGTAAAGTAAAATCAGCGAGTATTTCAAATCATACAAAATTTTAGATTAATTCCAATTTATTCCAATTATTTCAGTATTGACGACCAAATATGATTTTTTCTATTATCTAGATCCCTCGCGGTGGCTCTGAACCTCTAGAGCAACAGCCAGAGATTCAAGAACAGCCAAAAAAATCTCCAGATTACCCACAAGGAGAACAGGAGCAACGTCGCTATCAAACTTTAGAGCATGAAGAAACATCTCCGCTGCCTAAGTAAATTTTCAACAAGTTAAAAAATTCAAAGCGTTCCATACAGACCTGATCTAAATGCTGTGATTATCCTAAAACGTCAAATATAGATTTTTCCCTTGAAATAGTTTCGAACATACACCATCTCTGTGGTAAAATTTTGTTTTCTATATTAACTTAATATTAATCCAGTGCCTGGATTAAAATTCATACTTATCGTCATCTCTTCAGGTATGCATCACCAATTTTTCATAAATTATGGGCACAAATATACATACATATATATATATATATATATATATATATATATATATATATATATATATATATATATATATATGCTTACATATATTAAATTTAAATTTTCAACACATCTTACTTATATATATATATATATATATATATATATATATATATATATAAGTAAGATGTGATACTTTTCAATATAATGTATTTTACCATTGAGATGCTTTCGTTAATTTATTTATATACATTTAATAATTTAGAGCATTATGGTAATAATACTTACCAGTTGTAAGAAATATGCATATTTATAAAATAACTGCTAATTAATAGTTATATTATTATTATATTACTATATACATATTTGAATATTGAAATTGAATATTTCATTTGAACATCACCGTTGCATGTATCATATGTTTTATTGCAACGTTATCATATCAATCTCTATTAGTATTTCAATATTGCTTTTATTTTAGCATATTTCTTATTTCAGAAAATTGCTCTTAATGAACATATCACATTAAGAAATATGATGCCTAATCATTATGCAATTATGACCTAAATAAGTGGCTTATTGCACATTTGTTATAATTATATTTAAATAATAAAGCAGTTATTGTTAATGTTTAAATATAATATAATACAAAATTTATTCATAGCAGTATATCCAAATCCATTTATTGAAAGTGTCTGTGGTGATACGAATAATATTAACTTCCATACATGAAAAGGGAATTTCTATTTTATTTTGGAATCTTATTTTCTATTTGTACTGAACTTTTAGTAAATTATTATACTTTTATTTATATGAAGTATTTTTCGAAACTATGTTGAGCATAGTTAGTGTTATTGTTTATTCGCATCAAATATTTTTATAGCTTAACGATATTTTTTATATATTAGAGTTGATCATTTGATATATTATTTAAGTGATGTATTCAAACATCATAATTTTAAGAATTATTTTCATTAGAGAACTCATAAAATTGATTTTTTTGAATCTCAAAGTGTTCTTGGAAATGCAAGACTCAGACCTCATTAGCACCATTCTTAATTAATAATTTGTATTGACTTATACTTAATAATTTTTCAGTTAAAATGCACCATACGCAAGTTCAGTATGATGAAAAAATATGGAACTTGTAGAAATTTCAGTTTTGAACAAAAAGTATTGCAATAAACGAAAATAAAGTTACTTACATATTTGCAATTAAATCATTATAATAACTTTATAATTGTTATATTATACATAATTATGTGAATAGGTTAATAGCAAAATGTAGTAGAATATTATATTCAAATGTTGCTCAAAATTTTCGATTCCTATTTACATGTTTGTATGTGTTCTATATATATACATATATATATATATATATATATATATATATATATACATATGTGTATCTATTACGATAAATTTAAAACTTGACAATAAATAGTTATATAGAAAATGTTGTTTGTGATATATATATATATATATATATATATATATATATATCACAAAACTCAATCCAATATATATTGAGTAATTAAAATTTATAATATATATTTTGAGCAATACATCACAGATCAATACATGGTAAATTTATATATGTGAATCATAATAAATTTTATACAAAACTTTATATGATTTATTAATCATCATTCTCCTTCTAAAGACATATATGTTTTATCACTCATATAGACATATATGTTTATCACTCATGAATAAAAAAATGATAATAATTAAAAATTTAATTTAAACTACTCGCAACATTTCAATTACATTTATTATTACATTCAAAGGAAATTAAAAGATAAAAACTTTGTTTACTATATAGCAATAGCATAAATTTTATAAATATCAATTGTTCTCATATTAATACTTCTTTTAATGCATAAAGTTTTTGATACCCATTGATATCAATGGATTCAAATTACAAAATATCTGAGTTTCGACCGCCAAATGGAATTTTTTAACACTTTTTTTCTAGATCTCCGAAACCGTTGGCCCAGCCTTTGCAAAAACTTAAATCAGTTCTCTCACAAACTCAATTGCCATTTTACTCTATATCTTCGAAACGACTGAGCCAACTTTTGCCAAAAACAAATTACCGCATCATCTATTCAAAAGGAATCAAAAGCTTTTTGAATGATTCAAAGCGGTGCTACCAAAAACGGTCGACGAAAAATTGTATCCATACATACATGCATACTACATACGCACATACACACACACATCAATTTTTTAAGGTATGCCATAATGTTCAGAGACTTCTGAAACTTGAAGACATGCAAACGTGAAAATATTTCGGTTTTTGGACGAATACTATAACTCACCCTACTGGAAATTAAAAATTAATATACACACTATGTTCTCACTAACTCCTCAACATTAACTCATCATTGGTAGAAATATAAAATGTTATAAGACAGATAATAAAATTTATAAACTGAGAAGCAAAAGTGTTATATTAAAATATTCAAACATTGTTCATCTTCAATATAGATAAAATGTTAAACAAGTAATATAATATAATAATATTATAATTAATAATATAATAATTTTATTTGGTTGACAATTTCGTATCTGTGCAACTTCACAAATTAAATTTGAAATACATATTTGCTGAGTATCTGTGAATAAATATAAAAATACTACATTAATTATCTTAGATATGAAGTTCTATAGTGACGTATAAAATCTCAAACTTTACTTTTATTATTATATTGTCTATTGAAATAAAGAAATGAAAATTTTAATTGTCCCGCCTTTCGAAACGTCAACTGTCAACAAATCTGTTGGCAACACTATTTTTTGACGTGGCGTAGCGTGGATTCACCGATTCGGACGGTGAATGTTCTGTGGCACACATTTCATTTGCGAACTCAGGTTGGGAAATTTAAATCATAAATGCTTTCGTGTCATTGTGCTTGCCGTGTTATATTAATTTCGTGTTAAATTTAGTTTAAATAGTGTAATATAGGTAATTAATAGTTCTTAAAATAACATTTGTGTTAAACTCTTATTTGGTTCATCATTACATGAAATTATGCTTACATTAAAAATATTTATTACATTTTGTACAATAATGTTGTTGTAACATGTTGTTTGTTCGAAGAAAATAAATACATGTAATTGATTTTGACTTAATATTGTTTTACATCATTTTCATTTTTCAAGTTCTGTAAATGAAATATTTCGGTCTACTCATAACAAAATAATATCTAAAGCATTTTGGTCACAGCTTGTTAATTAAACATATTTTTCGTAATCAAACACTCAATGTCCAAATAAGAATTATTATTGTAACATCATATGTAAATATTTTTTAAATGTTTCAGTTAATTAAAAATGAATTTACGAACAATTTTATTCATCTTCACTGCGTGCCTTGCAACCTCTTTTGGAAGTGATGAAGATGGAGCCAGACTTTTAGTATCCAAACAAATATTGAACAAATATCTTGTAGAAGATATGGACGTTGTTGTTAAATACACTTTGTACAATATTGGAAGTTCGCCCGCTGTCAATGTACAACTCACTGACCGTGGATTCCACCCAGAAGTCTTCAATGTTGTAGGTGGCCAATTATCAGCTACTATTGATCGCATACCACCTCAAAGCAATGTAACACATGTTGTTGTTGTAAGGCCTAAAAAGTTTGGATATTTCAACTTCACAGCTGCTGAAGTTAATTATAAGACCTCTGAAGAAGCTACTACGGTAAGCAATAATGCTTTTGTAATTTTTATATGTGTTAATTTATATACAATATAATATTTATTGTATATAGTATTTACTGTACAATATAATGTTATTTATGTATGGATCTTATCGACTCAACAGTGGAAATGCGAAAATAATAGTTTTTCATAGATTTCCATTTCCAAATTGTATTTGTCTACTTTATACCATCAAATATTATTTTGTTTTCTTTTGATACACCTCTAAAACAAATGTAGATCCTAATATTGAACAATTACCTTTACCAAGAATGCTTATGTGTTTGTTTTATTAGGTTCAAGTTTCCATCAGCAGTGAGCCTGGAGAAGGTGGAATTGTAGCATTCAAGGATTACGATCGTAAATTCTCATCTCATGTACTTGATTGGACAGCTTTTGCTGTTATGACTCTTCCCTCATTAGTTATCCCGTATGCTTTATGGTATTCATCTAAGACGAAGTATGAAAAACTCTCCAAACCCAAGAAACATTAGTTTGTAAATCTTGTATAAATGTGACTCATTTATTTTTCTTTTTTCATTTACAAACTGGACACAAGTGAGTTTGAAAGTTTGACATATAAATTTTGTATGTTGATGAATCATTACATATATTTATTGTAGTTTTTACTTATACTTGAGTTAAGGTTTGTCCATATTTTTAAATAAAAGTTTGAAAGCGAATAAGTTTTTTTATTAATTAAACAAGTGCAAGAAAAATTAAACTAATTCTGCATTTATAGCTGTAATTAATTGCACTTGCCTCAATATACTTAATTTAGATTATAAGATACAATTATTATACAATACTCTACGTTCTGATTCTTTTATGACATTAAATATATAAAAATGCAGGATTTTTCATGAATCACTTATGTCCCTTATCGGGATAGACAATAAGGATTTATTTAAGGATATGCTAATAGCATTTATTTGCTATTAATAACAGTTACATGACTGTGACCAAAATAAAAAGCAATTCATTGGTACATAGTATGTATATTACAAAATAACTGTTTTGTAAATACAAAAATTTGGTAAATTGATGTTAAACTATTACAGTTAGGTTTTATATAATATTCATATTTAGAACAATATTAAATACCCAATAAGTATTAGTACAAACTTATTTTAACATATTTTTCACACTTCCCTAAAACAAAAGCAGATTGTGAACATGCTAGAACTGAGACAGTTGACCAACTTACACAAAAATTTAATGGAGAATTATTTACAAAGTCAGTTAACAATCAGTTCTAAAAGCTACAAGATAATAATTAGTAGCATAATTTCATCTATACCTATAAAAATGAACCTTAATTTTTACAATTATATATAAATTCACATCTGTGCACAGCACTATTAATTGCACATGGAAATATCACACTAGAAATTGTACAAAAGCCAGTAGCAATAATTTTCAATTCTTCTTTCACTGCACAGATGAATCATATTCATTAATATATATTTAAATGTGTGAATAAACATTAACTTTTCATAAAATGACTTTTGAATGAAATATATTACATACTTTCAATAAAATTTCAGTATAAAAATATAAACAAATAAATAACATCACAGTAAAAATCTTACATTCATCACAAAAATTTATTTGTGCAATAGGAACTAGAACTTGAGGCCACGAAATGTTCAACTGTTAATCTGAGACAATGTGAAACTTTCAATATACTCTCTTACTGTTATATAAAACAATCAGTTCAATTCGATTATTTTTTATAGCAGTTTTTTTTCCTACAAGTTTTCTACAAGTATTTCACAATGACCTCAAAAGTTGGATAAATTTAAAGAATTTCATGAACTTAAGGTCTAAAAAATGAATTCTGTGACTCAATTATTTACAAGGTTTTTCTTGATCCTTTACATATAAGTAAATCAAATAAAATAATAAATAAATACTATAAAATCTAAATTTACGCTGATACATCTACTGGTGTATCTGGAGAGTCTGAACCATAATTAAAATGTTGTAGGGTACTGTCAGAGAATGGAATCTGATTTTGCAATACGGGCGCAATGTATACAGGAATAGACTCTTCAGTACCTTCAATGGCTTGTGGAGTACTCGAAGTACAAGTAGGAAAAGGACTTAGCCAAAATAATGCTCCAACAGTGCATGCTAAAGAAATCAGCATTACAACAACGCGGGCATTGAAGCCACCAGTCCTAATAAATGATAAAGCTGCCATGGAAATCATCAGAAGCACCAAACTAACCCTAGTGAGTTGAACAGCAGTTGCGTGGATACGACCACCACCCCTACTGGACATGTTACTAGGCCCATAGGCAAAGTATAAGTTATGTCGATCTCCACAATGCTTTAAGCCCAAATAAATTAATGCAAATGGTGTTATCAACGGACAAGCTAAGCTATATACAACAGATGTGGTGAAAATCATCAAAGTCCATGCATAATGAGCACCAAAAGGAAACTCTCTAAGAATAGACTTCCTGATACTGAAAGTTTCAGCAATAGATTTAGCCATGCATAATTTCCAAATGTACATTGCCAGCTCAGGAAATCTTATTAATTCCAAAGAAGTACCAATGAAAGCTGAAGTAATAACATAATTAACAAAGAAAGCACCTTTATCAGGTAAAAATACACAATCCCAACGGTATGTCCGATCCTTTGTTTGCAAACTCCATTCCAATAATGCTTCAGCACTAGTAAGCCCTAAAGATGGTAAAATTAAAATCATAAATAATAAAAAGCCAAAAGTTTTAGTCATAATAGCATGATTCTGTTGTGATCGAGTCCAATGAGAAAGCCATTGATCAGAATATGACACGAGAACAGGCAAAAGAGCTGACATAGTCCAAAGTATTAATGTAGGTAAAAATTCTGAAACAATTGGGCTTATGTTGTTAATAGTGCCATTATTTATCATATGCAATGTATCTAACATGTTAACAATGATTGCTGGTGTAGTTACAAAAAATAAAATTATAAATAAAATACAGTTGATCAAAATAGCTTTCGTATACCAAAAACCTGTACTTGTATTAAGGTTCTCCCAAAATATGTCTGATGGGGTGGGTGCATGTTCAATCATCCACACTCTGTAAGTTCCTGGTTGAAAATATTCAACTATGTGGTCTGCAGCTTCTGAAGTGTAAACAGTAACAAAAGCAATTCCTAAAGGTTTGCTTAGTGCATATGCCTTTTGTCTTTCCAATTCTCCTCGGAGTTTTGTTTCTTGTCTTGCATAATATTCTAGGGCGTCAGTTCTTTCACAAGAACACCAGTCCTCTCTCAGCGTCAGGTTTGTCTTCACACGTTTATTGTGGGCTTCGCAAAACACTCGTGCCTTAAAAGCCGTTTCCCAAGAATCGTGCAATACTGTTAATTTTGCAACATTATAAGCCATTTGGACGTCCATGATTTCAATATCTGGAAATAGTTGTCGAATATATTCAGCTATTGTAGTTTTATTACTGTCTGCAGCAGATATGTTTGAAACCATAATTGTCCTTGTTGCTTCTTTAGGAGGCGGCACTCTGCCAGAGCATTTTCTCATGATGAGAATAAACATTGGAACATACGCCATAGCTATTATGATGTGACTCCATAGCCATGGTGAATCTGAATCGAGATTAACCACAGTTGTGTGTCCGAAGGATGTTTCATTGCCTGATAGATTTCCTTGAAAATTTATAGGTAATACAATGCAAGTGGATATAGATGTAACAATTGCCATTATAAACAACAAGTGTCTTTGAAATGATAAATAGTGAACAGCATCTGGACCACATCTCGTGAGAAATTGATGTTTCGTAATTTTGAAAACTGCAGGAAGCCAACAGCAAATGCCTCGGTCGATATTCAACATCGAGTCTGCATTGCTATCTGTCGTAATGATATCTGGGTCATCGTTATTTCCATAGAACAATTGGGTCCAAACCGCGTTGTCAACAGATCGAACTAACGCCAGTCGACCATAATTCCATGCTTTTTTTCGCAAAATGGCAAATAGAAGCAGCAGGCCTATCCAGCCGAGTACGTTAAGCAATAAAGTTTCAGCAATACCATTGTAGACATTACTAATAACGCTATGTTTTTTGTCTATAAGGCAGGTCGTTCTATTGGCATTATCTGTGATATATTCCAACATAGTTAGTTATACTTCATTTAAATTAAACATATGGATATGCACTAATAAGGTACTTAAGTTTCACTCTGACGATTGACGTTTTTGAAATGTCAGATGCTGTTATGCCCCTTGCGAAGTTGCGATGAGTAATAAACGCGGGCGGCGACATCTGACATACAACGGCGGCGAACGCGAAGCCCGAGCGTTACCGACCCTGTTACCGACTTACCGACGAACACGAAAGGAGGCGGGCACTATTTTTCTAACAAAAAAATTCCGAAAAAGCGACTGTCGTTCTCGTTACCATACATTCTGTTATTTATTATTTTCAAAATTCAAAGATTCAAAGGAAAAAGGTGAAAGTGAAATAAATTTAAATTTTCAGATTAACATTATAATTCAATATAATCAAATATGAATAACTTTTCTAACCGTGCAATATTTAAAAGTATATTAAAATTTATAATTATTCATGGATACTACTTAAATCTTAGAATTTAATTTGATTTGATTAGTAGAGAAAATTAAATAAACACACAGTGTTGAATTAAATCAATGTTTGTGATCCAAAACTTATTTAAGGGGGTATGGGTCTCTTTAAATCATTATGCAAAACAGACAATCAATTTTTTATTATCATTTTATCTATAATTTATTTATCGATGTTACAAGAGTACAGAAAAAAGTAATAACAGAATAGTTAATAATTTTAAAAATTAGCAGTTGTTACAATTGCAGCCCTCCTAGTAATCCGAAATGAAAAAGAAAAAAGAAATATTAATCTAGAATAATGTCGCAATGGTATATACTAGGATCAAGTTAAAATTTTTTTTGAAAAGATCATTTTTCTTACCACTTTTCGAGTCACGCGATTTTCTTTTTAAATAGTAAGAATTGAATCTTGGGGATGATGCTAGTATAAGCCAGAGAGAAAAGAGTCGAATCTTCTATAAAGAAGATTCTTATCAAAATTTCATATGAATCGGTTCAGTAAAACTTAAGAAAAAAAAAGAGTTGAGAAAAACGCTTTTAAAGTTTTAAAAATGGAAAGAAACAAAGGATTATCACAGTCAAACTGCTGAAATCTCAAAAAACAATTTAAAATTAAAAAAATCTTTTTGCACGCATATTCTTAAATAGTTAAAAGTTGAAAATATGAAACAAAAGAAAAAACGATTTTTTGTAATATCTACACTAAAATACTCCCTTGAATTAATTATTACGTCAGAGCAAAATATCTTGATATGTAGAGGTAAACCCATGATATACACCTCGCATGACACGAAATGCGGACCTGCGTGGCCGCGCCCGTTGCCTTAATGGTGTTTCTTCCGGACGGAATGTATTCGCTATATTAGTTTTTTTCGCGATGGGGAACAAACTAGCCACGTTTACTGAAGAACAGTTGGAAGATTATCAGGTCTTTATTTCTTTCTGTATATTTTAGTTTGTATTTTTACAAGTAATAATGTTATAAATTTCTCTAATATGCAATCTTATTATCAATTGATTAACGAATCTTGATTATTTTAATACTTTTATGACTGCACGTAGGATTGTACGTTTTTCACGCGAAAAGAAATATTAAGGTAGTGGCAAAACACATTTAATTGTAATTGATTTGGAAATAAACATCTAATAAACATTTTTAAATTAACTTCTAAGAGTATACAAACGTTTTCGAGAAGTATCACCAGAAATAGTACCAAAATGCATGACGGGAGATGAACCAGTTACTGCAAAAGTTCCTCGAGATCTTATGGAAAGATTGCCTGAGTTGCGCGTAAGTTACTTTCATATAGTTTATTTATTTTGTGTTTGTGACCAAATTATCAACCGTAGAGTTTATATAATAACAAATACTTGACCTTATGAAATTCTGTTGAAACCAACTCGTTTGTTTCAAATCAATAAATGGGACGACCCGCACAAGGATCTTATCTTTTAAAGGGTGATGAATGATTGCGTGACATTCGATAATTACATTACAACTATTCTCCATAAGAAGATGTGTGAGGTATTGAAACTCTAGCAAAAATGTATTTGAAAAAAAAAAACTACAAGAAATTGGACAAAAGCTAGGTGTTAGCGGCAGATTGCCTTAACGTACTTTCGTGAACTTTTGTTGTTGAGATATAGTCTCATTTGAAATTGTCCCGATATATATATAAACTGTTTATTTGGAGAATAATGCTTTCGTATCGATGCAATTTTTAATTTACATTATACACCTTATATCTCTTAAATTATTTCAAACCAAATGATTTTGTATATATATATAGATATATAACCACTTTTTGTATGTCTATGTTACGTTAGGATGTTAATTAGGTGCCTGAGCTCTATCATTATGCTAATTCATTAAAATCGTCAAACAAAAATTTTAACAATTAATTATCAAGAATTAACCCAGCCTGTATTTAGCAAAATCTCATCGCCAACTAATATCATTACAAGAGTTTTCGTATTTTAGTTCAGGATTTTTAACGAAAACGTATGCAAACAATTTTGCTAATTATAAACAAAATTCTTCTTGAAAATAAATAAATGCAATGAAACACAGATAATAAAACTATTATATTTAATTATCATAAAAATTCATTAATAATAACAACACAAACAAAGTAATAAATATGCAAAATATATTATAATGGGCTAAAATAGTCTACATTGTTAGTTCTGCGTTATTATTGCCGTCATGGCCACTTTCACCATTTGATCTTTGATTGTTTTCATTGCCAATTATTTCGTGTTCGTCATTTGCATCATTATCATCATTCACCCCCCTATCTTCTTCATCATCAGCACCGCCATCACCGTCGTTATCACCATCACCGTCCTCATCACCATCACCGTCCTCATCACCATCACCGTCATCACCATCACCGTCGTCGTCACCATCACCATCGTCACCACCATCACCATCGTCATCACCATCATCGTCATCGTCACCATCATCGTCGTCATCGCCATCACCGTCGTCATTATCATCATCATCATTCTCTTCATTGTCATCATCATCGTCTTCTTCAATATCATCCCCTTGATCATCGTTATTGTTATTATCGCCATCGCCATCTTCATTCCAATTCTCATTTTCATCCTCATCTACATCATCATAATCCTCATCACCGTCAATTTCACCGTTCCAAAAATATCTGTGATCATTATTATCATAATCTTCATCATCATCCTCTTCAGGGTACCGAGGTATAGTAACGGGTGGCAAATATGAGGTTATTAATTTCATATTTAGAAGAACCTTTTTTGGATGAGTTACATCACTAACTTTTTTCTCATCATTTTCCATATCCTCGAGACAACTCATTTTTTGTTTAACTATTCGGAGAATATCCGAATATATTGTCGTATAATATTTTAAACAATTGGACTCATAGTTATCAGCCATTTTGCCAGCCCGGTATGTACTCTCCACATCATACAACTGTTCTTGAAATTTCTGCATGTGATCAACCAACACGTTGCATCTTTCACAAGTGGAGCCATTTTTATCTTCATGAGTACATTCTAAGATAGAGTCTTCGATAGTTTCAATTCGCTTTTTCAAAGCCTTTATTCTGTTAAAATTGTCTTTAAGCCCATTTCTAATTACCTCTATTGTAGTGGCTCTGTCATTAATCAGCGTCCGCATTGAATGTACAACGCGGATTGATCTATATATGTGCCGAGCTGTACTATTTTTATTGTTTGCAATACACATACAAAAATTTAATTTCTGGTTGCAAACGCAAGGAATTACCTCATCACATATGTTTCTAGCCAACCTGTACACCTTCTTACGAAGTGCAACATAATTCGGTTCCATATTATCAATGAAATTTTCAAAAAACAATTTGCTTCGCGAAACTATATAATCAGTCACTACGTGTACATGAACTTCTGCCTTGGTCCTTGTTGCTTGTTTGTTATCAGGGTATTCACTTCCGGTTCAAGCAAAAAAAAAATTATGTTGTTAGTATTAATTTATTTGGTATTACTATATTTATATTCTGAATATGTTCTGTATTTAACATATCATAAGATTATATATCAAATTGTTTTCTTAAAAAACTGCTTCAGATGACTTGACAGATCGTAGGAAAGTTGGATCCAATGCATGAAAGCGAACGACGTAGGGTCTCAGCTGTGTTTCAACCCGATTTGTCTTGTATATTTGCCGCCACATTTACTAACTTCTTTTTGTAAAAAAATCTGATATTCTGACAATTAAGACAATAAATTACACTAATTAAGTAAAGTCGATATTTGAATAACTATTTTATGAATAATTTTAACGCACGAAATAGAGTCGAAAAATGTCGAGTTTGACTGGCGGCAAACATGTATGTCAAAGGACAAGAGAAAAAAAATCAAGCAAAGGAAGCTAGAATTATTTTTTCCTTAATAGTAAGATTATTTCCAATTAGTCAAAGTCTATAATCTTTTATTTCACACTTAAATTATTCATAATCATCTTCAGTTTTTCCGTATGCACTTATTAATGAGATTGTACTTCAATTATCAAACAATTTATAATTTATATTGTTCTCTACAGGAAAATCCCTTTAAAACGCGGATTTGTGAAGTATTTTCCAGTGACGGAGCAGGAGACTTGTCCTTCGAAGATTTTCTAGATTTGTTATCAGTGTTCAGCGGACAGGCGCCAAGGGATATCAAAGTTTTTTATGCCTTCAAAATATACGGTAAGTATTATTTTTACTTCACATTCACATTTCTTCTTATAATATACTTGTAAATATCACGAGTTTTTAATCAATGCTGAGATAAATTTATAAACATTCTAATGAAGCAAATATTTTTATTCGATAATTATTTATTTAGTACGTTTTAACACCAAAGATGTTGCACCATTCAGCAGTTCTAAAACAATTACACAATCAGTACACCATAATCACTCAATAATTATAAAATAGCTACGAAGAAATTATGAAATATTTTTCTATTACATCAAAAAGAGCACAACAACAAAGTTTAAATATTTTTTATGGTTTAAGTTAACAATCAAACACTAAAACATCGAAACAAACGAAAGAATAAAAATCTCAAATTAGTATATGTTTTGCACAATTGGGATGTTTACTCCATTATTTTTCTATACTGACTCCGCGCTCTACGCTATCGCGATCCAATCTGCATGGCAAACCACACAGGGTACGGGGTGGGGGTAAAAAAGGTCGCTCAGGTAGAAATATTTTGGTCCGTAATGCTTTGATAACTGCATATGAAGAATTACACTTATTATTGAAAACAGAATCAAAATAATTAAAGTAAATTTTATCGATTTTTTTTCTTTATATAAAATTATGAATATAATGAATCATAATCAAAAAATAAATCAACTCTCTTGAAAATGAACTATTTTTGGTATATAATAATATAACGACTAGGGCCGGTCCTGGGGTCCTTAGCGCCCGCATGCAACTTTTTTTTAGTGCCCCCCACTATTCATTTTAACTGTTTAAACAGTTTATTATTAAAATTATATAAAAATTACATATTTTTTTAAAACTAATTTTTAATTATTCTGGATTTAGTACACAAAAAATTAGATATAATCTAAAAGCGTATAAAATACATTGATTTTAAATTTATTTAGAAAATCTAGGCCACTCGTGATTATAATCAAATATTTTTAAATTTTCAATTATTTTTAACGTATTGCATTATTAATATTTGGGTTTTGAAACATTTTACTTATTTATTATTCCAATTACTCTATTGAGCAAATCATGCCAAGAAAACTAAAAAAACTAGCTTTTCATTTTCAATCATAATATTCGTATTTCATGTGGGATTTTTTAAATTTTACGTTAATTTAATTCTTCATTATTTACAATATTCAAATTTGCGTCGTGAACTTCTCCTTATTGATATCGTAAGAGCCGAATTGTATTCATCCTTGCTTTCCCGTCATATTCAGAGTATCAGATTGTTTCAATCGTGATTGTGATCAATTGTTAACGTATTTTAAAAGTATTATCCAATAATCAGTAAAAAAATGCAAAAAAATTACACATTTTTTTAACTATATTGAAAAAAACTAATTATATTTAATATGTATTATTAGAGTAGGGTATGGGCACCACTAGATATAAAAAAGCCTTAAGATTTTTGTTCCAAAGTAAATTTTGCTTTCATTTTTTATATTCGTTCCATTTCCATAACCCTAACCACGCATGTCTTTCAAAGTTCATCCGGTGCGAAACATTTGCAACTAAAACAAAAGTTACAATTCAATTCCTCGGAATAATCATGCCATTTTTTAAGCACTGACTCCCCATTTTTCATTATCCCGATTATAATTTGTTTATATTTTTTAACAAGTTCTGTTTTAACTAAATCAGCTCGCAACTTTTCGTCAATAATGCGCAATAATTAATTTCATATTTCGCAGGTTTGCGCTTATGGGATTGAATATTAGATAATTTTTTTTCGATTCCACGGTAACTTCAAACAAAGAAAAAATTGAATAAGAAGAATAAGCAATAAACAGAGCTGTTATTTATTAATTTGCAGAGTAATTAATCGGTTATATGTTTCTACTGATATCACATTGCAAAATAAATATGCTTTTTGTGTCTCCGTATCCCTAGTTAAGTTTGATTGTTTATTATAATTTATCAAGTATTCTAGATTTTATATAAATAATAAAAAATATAAATAATATATTATCAATTTAATTTCCGAAACTCGTTTTGGCTCCCCCTAAGGCGTGAGACCGCATTTTTTGCATGCATCGCCTGCAAGGCACTTGGGCACATATGATTTTTGTATTCTAGGGATCAAAATAAGATACTTTGCTGAAGAAACCATACCTCTAAATGAATTTTGATGACCCATGCATTGACCCAAAGATTGGTCAAATTTTGAAATATCCCGTTTTGACCCATCTAGAGTGCCCCAATCGCGTCCTAATGTATGACCGACCCCCACTAATTTTGTAAGGCCGGTACACCCATGCCCATGGTGCAACCCCTGGGACCTCCCCTGAGACGTCTCCCGTACTAAAATTGCAAAAAACCATCGTTTTTAGTATTTTACTCAGCAATAAATGTTTTTTTTGAAACCATTTTTCTGGATATGTACTCCAACAACCGTAAACAATTTAAAACCATGTTCTTTGAATAATTTTAAATGTTTAGTGTTATTATATTATTGTACTTACTTTTGTATACTACTTAGCTTGATGTTGACAAACATTTTGTTCTCAAAACTATACAATTTTGAAACAAATGTATATTTCATTTCGACGTATTGGCTGTTAAATAATTAAATATTATATTTTAACGTCGACTACAGAATTTCAATACACACACACACACACACATATATATATATATTGATTGTTTCTTTTCCGAACAGTAAATCCAATAATAAAAAACAATTTGTTTTTTGAAGATGTTTAATACGACGTTTCGGAACTAGGTACGTTCCATCATCAGGTTTATTCTGTAATAATTTATATATCCATATCACTAATATTTTTTTGTTAAAAACACTCGATTTTTTTGGAAGATATTTGTAGATGTTACGACTACACAAGACTTAAACACACTGAGTTTAAGTCTTGTGTAGTCGTAACATCTACAAATATCTTCCAAAAAAATCGAGTGTTTTTAACAAAAAAATATTAGTGATATGGATATATAAATTATTACAGAATAAACCTGATGATGGAACGTACCTAGTTCCGAAACGTCGTATTAAACATCTTCAAAAAACAAATTGTTTTTTATTATTGGATTTACTGTTCGGAAAAGAAACAATCAATATATTGAAAAAATCCAGGACTTATCTATTGATATATATATATATATATATATATATATACGAACAAACAACACCCTTTTTTGCACTAATTTATTAAATAATAATTTTCACAAACGTTTCGAGACTAGGTATGTCTCATCATCAGTGTGTTATAATTTAAACTTTAAAATATGGAAACCTAAATTAACATTATGTGTTATTCGTTACAAGTCGCTCGATACACTGCTACACACTAGTATCCACTTAGAATGCATTTGTTATATCTTATATATAAAATTCTTCTGTAACAGTGTAAGTTTCATTAATCCTCCTAAACTATAATTCGGATTTTCATGTAACTTCCTGAAGTTTGTTCGGGAAATTTTCTAGAATGTTGTGATTTATAGAAATATAGTTAGATTGTAGAAATAAATGGAAAAAATTACAAAAAACCGCTTATCATTGTTTGCCCTTGAAAATATTTGAAGCTTAGTTTGACATTAAAAACAATTGAAGACTGTCATTTGCCAAACATTTCTATTCACTTATAGGCTAAGGCAATATTAAAATATAATAAATTCATGATTATGAATAAGGAAAATGTAATGTCTACATTATTAATGCCGAAAAGCAGCTGAGATGTGCCAAAAATTAAATTAATATAAGATGCAAATAATATAACATGCGTCTGACAGTCTGCGCATGCGTCTGACGCGCACGGCGAATCGTGTTCTCAACGTACGCGTGGTTTGCTTTTGCTTGCAATAATTTTGTTTGCGCACTTTGCGAACAGATTCGCCGTACGAATTCGTGCAAAGGAGACGAGCCATAAGTGATTGCGCTCAAAAATATTCAATTTGCGGTCGTTTTGCCTTACTATACTAAGTCACAATACAAAAAAAAATATTTAGAAGTTTCATTGTGTCAAACATTCATATGCTTGTCATTGGGTACGGAATATTTACTGAATGGAGCGCTTTTGGTCTGAACTTTTTTTACTGTTTTCCAATTTGTTTGGAATTTTGGAACTATGTTCATCTTACTCTTTAGAAGTGAAAACAATTTAGATTCCTTTGCCACTTCTCGGGTGGATGACATTTCTTTTCAGTGGTGTAATTTTACTTTTTTTTCAAAATAACGTTGAGTATAGATAGAAGAACTAATTATAAGAGAAAAATGTTTAATAATGTTTTTCAAAAAAGCAAATACTTTTCAAGTTACTGGCTACTGAAAATTTGTTTCTTTTTTGCGTTTTTCATCATTTTTTGCTAATATCTTCAAAAATATACATTTTAACGAAAATCATGTAATGAACAAAATTATATCAATTAAAATCTTAATAAATCGCTACTTTATAGTGTTTTAGAAACATTATTAGGCTAGATATGAAAATGGGTTTTTATAGTGCTCAAAATAAGCTTTAAAATGAGTACTTCTGCGTGTAAAATGAGTAAACTATCATGCAAATAAAAGACGCATTTAATGCTTTTTCATTTAAATCAAATAGTTTTTCGGTGCCATTTCCACCAAATTTAAAAATAATCGTATTCCATCTAGAATTAACTTGGTTTAAGAGATCTTGATGGATTCTAGAACATACCCCAACTTTAGTACAAACGATTTTCAATAAACTCATGATTTCATGAAAAAAAAAACATTAAAAAATCATCCAATTTCTTATTATAATATCTCTGAAAGAATACGTATAAAAGTATATATATATATATATATATATATATATATATATATATGAAAATTCGAGGTATTTTTCTGACTAATTATTGTTGTTTATTATTTTTCCGTTACACAAATATTGATAGATGTCTAATTAATTAAAGAGTGGGCGGCTGTCCAACCAGAGGTCTTTCGAGCCCTTTAACCCTTTATCGCTTCACAATAAGAGAAGTCACGGAAAAATTTATGATAGAGAAAG